GGCACCGCTTTACATTTTTACAAGTCTCAGTATTGTCTGGATTCTCACGTTGGCTTCTGCATTCAGTCTGTGGTGTCGTGCCATGTCAGCTCTGGAAAACTCCACCGCACACTTGTAAGCAAATCAGAGTGAAAAAGGCAAATGACACCGTAGTGCTATGAAAATGTGTTACTCTGCAGATCCTCTGAAAGGCTCTTTGGGATCCCCTGGACCCCACGTTACTGTGAATACCACCGATGGAAAAGATGAGGGGCGCAAAATCCTCCTGAAAGGCTTGGGGGGAGGGGAGGAGGCACGTGCCTACATTTGGCCCATGCCACCACGGAAGGCAAACTGGAAGAGCTCACCCTGATTATCTCTGCTGTCCCTCGTTGCTCCCTAAAGCCTCTGAGTGGCTCCCCTCTAATTCAGCAGACACCAAGTGCCTCCTATGTGCTCCATGGCCCCTGCTGTCAGGGAACTTCACGCTCGCTGGATTTTGGAGGGCGCGGTCATTGCCGAATCTGTCGGAGTGGCATCAGGCATGCAGGGGTGGATAAAGGCCAATTTCCAGCTCCATCAAAGGGAGAGACCAGGTGCAATTTTGTTCATTCCTTCTCTCCTGAACCAGCACATTGAACGGTACCCCAACTCGGCTCCTCATGTAAAGGCCCCGTTGTTTACGTCACCTGCCCTCTCTAGACTCTTATTTACCAACCGCTTCTACCTTCTTGAATGATGGTGGCACATGTTCCTCCCTTGCTCCGCAGAGTCTGAATCCACGCTGACCAGTGTGAAGTCTGGATTTCTCAGGTGCCTCCAGGCCTCTGCTGTACTAACCTCCATCTCTCTTACTGCACCCCCCAGTGCTGCCGGCTCTCCTTTACCAGCCCAGCCTCCCTACTGGTGACACCACCTCATTTCCCGACACTCTTTGGCAAATTTAAGCTCTCTGTTTTTAAAAGATTTATTTAATTATGCATACAAGAGCTGGGGTACAGGCCAGAGGTGCGGGGATGGGGAGGAGGGGCATGAGAGGATTCACCAGAGACAGAGTGGGGAACAGAACAGGCAGACTGACTGAAGTACACTGCTGAGACAGGAGAGGTCTGCTGTGCTGTGTGGGTAGCTCCCTGGCAGGCCGGGGATTGAACTCATGCTACAGAGGCTACAGATAGCTTTATAGTGCTATGTTTTTAACCCCCTGCGCCACCAGGGCAGCCCCAAAACTTAAGCCCTTTGAAGTGCCTCTAGCCCACCTCCAGCCCTTACTACTTAGTCTTCGCCAGTCACGGACGGCTGATCCTCCACCTCCGTGCTGCTCTCACCGCCAACTGTTCTCCTCTCACTCTCTGCCAAATGCTGGAGTCAGCGTCTTCCTGTAGACCTCTGCACACCCCTGGCCCTCTTATGTGTATTTACTTGTATTCACTACCAAGAAGATAAGCCCCATGAAAGCAGGGGTTTTAAAGTTTTATTCACTGCTGAATCTCCAGCCCCTAGATCAGTGCCTGGCACACAGTAAAGCCCTCAAATGCTTGTTATAATAAGGGACTTGTCTTCCCCTAGTGTACTGCAAGCTCTGAGGGATGAGGCTTTGTTTTGCTCAGGTTATATCTTTAGTGCTTAGCACAGCTCCTGGGACCTAGTAGGTATAAAATACTGTTTGAATTAGTGAATGATGGTAACTTGTGATTTTTAGAAATAGTGCTTTTTTGGGTAGATACTGTTTGCATATTGTCTTCTGCATCGTTCATTCCACACCTGGGCTTCAGCGATAACCTTTTTTGAAGTTTTGCATGCTTGCACCTGTTACTTTCCTAAAATAATTTCCTAAAATAGGGCCTCCCTGGTGGCGCAGGCGGTTGAGCACCGTACTGTGAAGCTGTCCGCAGCCTCTGCAACACGGGTTCGATCCCTGCCAGCCGTGGAGCAACCTACATGGTGAGCAGACCTCTCCTGTCTCGCCTGCTGCTCCCCCCAGCAGTGTATTTCATCAGTCTGCCTGTTCTGTTCCCCGCTCTGTCTGGTGAATCCTCTCACCTTCCCGCATACCTGGCCTGTACCCCGTTCTTGTATAAATAAATAAATATTTTAAAAAAATTTCCTAAAATAATGTTGATACTAAGGTGCTGCTCAAACTTTCAATGTCTCCCCTTGTTTCCAATGTGCAAATGTGGTGGTGCAAAATCTCATCTGTAAATTGGCTGTTCACACAGTGCAACAAAGTTGCCCATCAGTGGTACATACTGAGCTTTACCTCAGGTCACAAAGGTTTATACAGTCGGCACCCCCAAGCCCCATCAGATACAAAATTCCTTAGATACTCAAGTCCCTTAAAAATGGTGCCTGCCAATTCTCTAGATTACTTCTAATACCTAATCCAATGTGAATGCTATGTAAATACTGACACTGTATTACCCAGGGAATGACAACCCACATGTTCAGTACATCCACAACATGCATCTTGGTAGGCCTAGTTACAGCTACCCTGTAACTGTAACTATTCCTGATCTTCAGTGAGCAGTTGGTTGACCCTACATATGCTGAGGGTCTAGGGCCCCAGGGATATGTGTGTGTGTGTGTGCGCGTGTGTGTTCTATCTCATATCTAAGACCCATAACAGCTGCAGTCATTTTAAATAAATGTAAAATAATGTTTCTAGAGGAAATATTGTGCTCAGTTTCATTTTGGGGATGCAGACACAGGTCCTGGTCGGTAGGGAATTCCCCCTCAAAACCAAAACGATGATTCCCATTGACTGCGACAGCAGCTGTCTAAATATACCTGTCATTCAATGCTCTGAATTCCATCATGAAATCTTGATGACACAATCTTCTTCCCCATCATTCTAGCTAAAAGTGATAGCTCTCCTCCTGTGAAATCTAGACTGCTTGACAGTTATTTTATCTATCATATTGCCTTGTCTTTTTAATTGCTCACAAGTATGTCTTGCCTCTAATGAGATTGTAGCTCCTGAGGGAAAAGGCTCTGTTCTACAATACACACTTTAGTTACTGAATAAATGAAGGAATTCATGCCTGTTGCTTTCCAGATGGCACATGCAGGCCACTCAGGAATCTGGTCTTTGCAAGGGTCAAGTCTCTCTACTGGTATCAGAAGGCTGCTTTGGAAATGTGTGTCGGAGCTGAAAAAAGGAAATGGCTGAAATTAAGTGTGCAAAAGGACTTAGTGACTGTTTATCATGTGCCTCTATGTGCCAGGTAATTTACGAACATGTCTCTAATCCTCATTACTAATCCTAATTACTAATCAGGGGCTTGAGACATTGGGATGTGACTTTTCCAAAATCTCAAAGCTTTTATGGGATGGGACCAGGATTTCAAAGCTGGCATTCAAACCCAAGTCCCTCTGACTCCAGAGCAAGTGAGATGATCTGAGTCACTTCCTGCCTCTTTGGCAGATCAGGGTGGAGTGTGCTTACCTGCCGGCTACCCTGCATTTCCTAAAACTGCTGGATCCCAGGGGACCCCACTAACCTTCCCAGATCAGGAAGGACCGTTTGTCAATGGTCAGAAAACCTGCTCCTCTTTCCTCACTAGAAGTTTCAGATTCCAAGTCCTTGTTCTTCTGACATCACCATATTGATCCTTAGCTCCTGGAAAAACAACTTAAGACTTGAGTCACACACTCCTTCCACTGTCCAAGGATCTTTCCTGCCACGCTATATAATTACAAACAATGCCTATCAACAGACTGGCTAAATTATAGCACAACCATATGAGGGAGTGTTACAGGCTACAGCTGTTAAGCGACAAAATGTCTAGTACAGTGTTTAAAAAGGCACTGCACAAATGTGCTTGCAGAGGTATAGGAAATTCACTGAAGGGCATTTATTCAACAAGTATTTTTTTTTAAAAGATTTATTTATTTATTTATTTATACAAGCACTGGGTACAGTCAGAAGCGCGGGAGGGTGAGAGAATTCACCAGAGCCAGGGCGGGGAGCAGAGCAGGCAGAAGGACCGAAGCACACTGCTGAGGGGAGCAGCGGGCGGCAGGAGAGGTCTGCGCACCATGTGGGACCCTCCTCCGGTGGCTGGGGGGTAGCCGGGGATCGAACCGGCACTGCAGAGGCTACAGGCAGCTTCGCAACCCAGCGCTCAACCGCTGCGCCACCGGGGAGGCCCTCAACAAGTATTTTTAAGCATCATAAGGGAGTCAAGAAACACATTAGCAAGATTACCTGTACTTTTTGGCAAGCTGTAGTTCTCTTAAGCCACGAACAGGACTTTTCTGCAAAGCCAAGAGGCAAAAAAGGAAGGCCGAGGCAGCCAGGGGACTATCCGACCGGCATCCGGCTGGAAAGGGCCAGGGCCGTCCCGAACCGGAAACCTGCGCTTCGGCAACGAGGGGCGTTTTACCTTGAGCTTTAGCCCTGAAGGGCCGGCCAGGTGCGGACTTACTCAAAGACTGGATAACACTGGGGCTGCCGACACACCGGACCCCGCTCAACCCCGGCGGCCCGGGTCCCCCGACGCGCGCTGCGCCGAGACGCGCCCCCGCGGGCGGCGGGGGCCGGGGCGGGGCCGCGTGTCCCGGCGGGTCGCTCACCCCCGGGGCTGGGGCATCCGCCGCTCAGCAGAGGCGCCCGCGTCCTCGGCAGCACCCGGGCAGCACGCGGGCGGCGGCGCGGGGAGGGGCGGCGCCCCCGAGCCCCGCCCCGCCCCGCCCCGCCCCGCCGCGCCGCGCCGCGCCGCGCCGCGCCGCGCCGCGCCCGGGACGCCCGTCCTCTGCTCCGCGGCCTCCCCACGCCGAGCCCCGCGGCCGCCCGCCGCGGCGAGCCGCGCCAGCCCAGGGCCCGCAGCGCGCAGGCGCGGGGGCCGCGCGGCGCGGGCGCGGCCGGGCGCGGCTGCGGCTGCGCAGAGGCGGCGCCGGCGCGGCGCCTGCGCAGTGGCGGGGCGGGGCGGGAGGCGGGCGGCGGCGGCCGCGGCGGCGGCGGCGGGGGAGGCGAGGGGGCGGCGCGCGGGGCGGTGTTTCTGTCAGTTCCGGCTGTTTGTTCGGGAAGTGGAGCCGCCGCGGCCGGAGCAGCCGAGCAGCCGCGGATCGCGAGGCCGCGCCGCCCCCGCCCGCCGCCGCGCCGCCCGCGCCCGCCATGGCCCGGGACTACGACCACCTCTTCAAGCTGCTCATCATCGGCGACAGCGGTGAGGCCGCGGGCCGGGCGGGCCGGGCGGGCCTCGGCGGGCGGCGGGCGGCGCGGGCCGGGGGCGCCGCCGGCGCGGGGCGGGGCGGGGCGGGCGGGGCGGGGCGGGCGGCGCGGTTCCGCGGGCCGCGGGCGCCCGAGCCGGGGTGGGGGCGCCGGGCGCGGGCCCGGGCGGGCCGAGGCGCCGCGTCCCTCCCGCCGGCCCCGCCTCGCGGGTGACCTTGGTCCAGTCGCGCGAGCGCGGCGGCGGGGACCCGGGTTCGAGTCCCGGACCCGCTCCCGCGCGCTGACCTTGGCGCGCTCCGGGCCGGGCCGGGCCGGGCGGCGGGGCGGACCGGGCGCCGCCGAGCGGGCCCCGCGGAGCGGCCGGGGTGCCCTCTGCCCGCCGGCGCCGCCCCCGGGCGATGGGCAGGTCCTGGGGCTCCCGCCGTGAGGCGGGGCCCGGCCGGGGCCGGCGCATCCTGGACGCGCCGCTGGACGGTCGATCTGTCTCCGCGCCGCGCGGCCTCCCCGGCTGTGAAAGGGGCTCCCCGCGGGCGCGCGGCGCCGGGCCCGGGCCGGGGGTGCCCAGGGCGGTGGGGCAGCCGCCCGCGCCCGGCCGCTCCCCCCGGGCCGCTGCTCCCGCCCCGGGGCCTCCGGCTGCGCTCGGCGCCCAGAGGGGCCGCCGTGGAGGTGTGTGTTGAATGAATGAAGCGTCTTGGGAAAGAGAAATCGGCTGCTTTCTGGGGAAGGGCGGAGGGGTTGAGAGGTGTGTGGAGTGAGACAGATAAGCAGGTTTATGGGGTGACTGGGAGGTCAGGGAGGCAGGTCCCAGGAGGTTTATGGGCGCATAACTGAGGTGCTGGGGTGATGTGGTGTTGGGGAGCAGGCTTAGGCGCAGACCGAGTTTACAGACCAGACCCGAGGTGAGAGTGGGCCCGTGGCTCAGGAAAAAGGGGCCAAATCAAGCGTGTGGTAAGACCCTGAAGTGGGCGTGTTGGGGGACAGCGTCAGAGCTGGGTCAGGCAAGTGGCTGGGTTTTAGGGTCAGGGGGAGTTGGATCGGGATGTGGCTGATGGGTTGGATCGGGTGAAGGGCGGCAGAGGTTTGTGTGGTTACTGGTGGAAGGTAAGGGGAAAGTTAGGGGCGAACTGGGGAGATGAAGAATCGCTGTGGTTGGGGAAGGAGTTAGACAGGCAGAGGGTGGAGTCGTTTTGGTTTGAAGCAAAGAACACCAGACAGGCTGTGTAGACTGGCTCTTGGAGATGGTCTCTGATGTTCTGCGAGCTCTCGTGCCTTAGGCCTTTACAGGATCTGAACTCTGGCTGCGGTCCTGAGGGGCTGGCGCCAGGATGATCTTTTTCTTTTTGGAGTTGAAGTCAGCCCACCGTGGTCACAGGCCCTGACCCCACTGTAAGCCATCTAGGGCCCGTGTGCTGGTATCCCAAAATGAAAAGCGTGAACTCAGCAAGAAAATGCAGCTTGTTGACTCCTTTTCTCTGTAAAGCCTGGGGAGTGGGCTGGGCCCGCTCTCTCCCAGTACCTTTCCCACTGTATTGATTTTTCACTCAGAAGCCAGGTGTGGGGGTAAACTCACCGGGTCAAGGTTTAGGTGGTCTGGCTCCTCGTTTAGTCTGCGTGTGGTCTGCCGTGTAGAGGAGACAGGTGCTTTGCAGTGTGATTTCGCCTGACAGTGAGCTGATCCTCAGAGCCCAAGGCTTGTGACACTGGGAGATGGTAGCCATGGAAGCTCACGCTAAGCTTTAGCAACTGAGCAAGGAGACTGACATGTGCTCCCCTGAACTGGGCTCACGTGGACGCTTCTTAAGGGTTATCAAATGATTTCAGATACTCTGTCATCTGCTTCTCACGCGTCGTTACCGTGTGGTTTGTCAGAGAAGGAAACTAGGGCTCAGAGACGCCGACGGACTTGGCCAAAGTGGCACAGCTGACAAGAGGCAAAGCTGGGAGTGAGCTAATGTGCATGATGCTGTGTGAGCAGCTGGTGTGGAGCCCGAGAAACAGTAGGGCCTCAATGAATGTTAGTTCCTTTCTTTATAAATGTAGAGTTCTCCTGCCCACTCTGCCACATTGTACATGCTTCTGGAATACATTCCTTCCACTTCTGCAGCTCTTCCACACTTGTAGAGTTCCACACTTTCCCTTATGTTCCTCTGACGTTGTGTGATTTGTGACAGCTTCCTCTGGTCCGTTGGGACACCCGTCCTCATGCCTAGAACCTGGAGGCCGGCGTGGTCAGGGACCTAGTTCAAGTCTTTCACCTCACAGATGAGTGAACTGAGGCTCAGAGAGAAGTGACTTCTCTGAGGCTACGCAGTGAAGTAGTTGCTGAGCTGGAATTAAAATGAAAACACTGGACTCAGAAGTGGAAGGTCTTCAGTCTTGAAGTGAAGCTAAGCGGAGTGAGGGGACTAGAGCCCGAGGAAGAACGGCTGCGGGTGGGGACTCTCTGTGGAGGCTTTTAAGACCAGAGCATCTGTGGAGGCCTAGATGCCTGGGAGGAGAGGAAGCTTGATTCTGGGAGAAGGGTGAAGAGGGACAGTGAGGTTTGGGCAGAGTAAATGTGTTTCCTGGCCTCCCGGAGGCATGGAGTGCAGGGCCGGTGCTCCTTGCAGGGGGACAGACGACGGGACAGGATCGTGTGGCTGTTGTGGCCACTGGAGAACGGCTGCAGTGGGCTGTGATGAAGGTGGTCCACCTCCTCTCTGAGGCCGGGGACGTGGGGTGAACAGTAGCAGAGTGTTTTCCCCAGGAGGGGGCTTCCAGGGATATTGAGAAGGTGACCCCTTTTCAGGGTGCGTTTCTTTCCCTTTGAAGGGGAAGTGCAGTGCCAGAGCTTGGTGCCAGGCCCAAAGCATCAGGGAATGTAATGTGGTCACTGGAGGGGTCTTTCGACAGCTGTGCAGGGCAACTTGGGGACCAATGAAGGGGACCCGAGAGGGCAGGCCGGAGAGGTGCTGCTGCTTCCTTGCTTCATGCAGAGAAAACCCCTCCCTCTTACTGGTTTTAGATGAAATTTAATTTATAAAGGAATTCTGCTGCCCATTCCCAAATTCGAAAATGACTGCTTTGGCTTCTGTTGCTGCTGCAGCGGGTGTCAGATAGTGTCGGTGAGACTGGCCTGTGTGCCGTTACAGATTCACTGCACGGGGCTGCGTTGGTGCCCACTCTGTGCATGGTGCTTACAGTCTGTGCGTGTTCGGAGTACGCGAGGCAAGATCTTCCTGCAGGAACTCACAGCCTAGTGGCCCAGACACAAGCTGTTCGCTGAGTAAGCAGTCCCAGAAAGGTCCCAGGAGGAAGCACAGGAGCCGCCCGACTGTCGGGTGTTGGCATTGGGTAGAGCATGGTGAGGGACCCAGCCCAAGAGCCCAGCTCTTGGCTCTTGGGCTCAGCAGGAAGCCCCGTAGAGGCAGCAATGAGGAAGTGGCTCTGCACAAGAGTGCTAAAGGCACTGGGGCCGGCCAGCAGGTACGTGGGTGCAGCGCGGGTCTGCTCAGAGCCACACCCCCAGCCTGTCTTTGGGAAGGTAAGACACAGAGTGACTCCATGAAACAAGCTCTTAGATCATCAGAGAGGACTGTCCGGAGAGGATGTCTGGGCTTGGTAAGCTGTGGAGAAACACAACCAGAATGGGGGCGGCGTGAGTGTCTGCTGAACGCTGCTCATCCCCACAGAATCTGAGTTTACCCTTGGGGGGTTTCTGAGGCCCCGGGTTAAGATGTCTTCGTCTCTAGCTTTGATCGCATTGTTGCTGCCCGGAATCTAACAGGAGTGAGATGCACGAGCCCCTTCGAGTCTTTTTATTTTACTTCCTGAAACAGATGCAAGACACTCCTCAGGCAGTGTATATTGGCAAGAGTATATATTGGTAAGAGCTTCAGATCTCTGGAGTAAACAGCTCTGGATTCAGATCTCAGCTCCACATTTCCTGTGGAGGCCCCTAGGCCAATTGTTGAGCTTCTTGGAGTCGCCGTGGTTGTATCTTGAGATGCACTCGGGGTTATAGGCGTGTCTGTCGAAGTGCCCACCACTCACCGTGCTCTAGGTGTGCTAATTCCTTCCTTCCGGGGTGGGTTGACCCAGCTGGCCTTAGGGGTGAAGTTAGGGGGTGGAGCAGGAGAACATGGGGCAGGTGCCTCAGGTACGCTAAAGCCACTGTGCATTGAAATAAAGGGAAGCCAAGCTTTTGGGGGCTCTACCTTTCTTGGAACAAGTACGCCTGGAGATGCTGTGCTAAGTGATAGGGGCTCGAGCGCGCGTGAGCTGTTGGGCTGACAGGTGTGAGGCATACACCCCTCCCCCTGATCCGGCCGCAGGGTCCTGGGCTGGGGAACCATGCTGGTCCGACTTGTCTGAGCCTCGGTGTCCTCACCTAGAAAATAGATCAGATGATCTCAGGGCACTTTCCAGCTCCGGTTCCTCATTTTCACACCACGCACAGATGAGCTCACACATAATGTGCACTGTTCTAGGCTCCATGTGTTCGACACCCTTTGGGTATCTCCCGCTTGGCTGACCTTGCCCTGCCGTATTCTGTCACCTGGTACCTTCCCCTGGGCTGCTGGGATTGGCCCTCAGCCCCAGGCACTCGCCCGTCTCATCCCGTTTCCAGGGGACTGGGAAGTAGCTTGTCTTACACCGGGACAGAGAAGGTCAGAGATTGAGCGGGAGAGATGCTCTTAGTGTGTGGCTGGTTGGGGAGATAAAAACCAGCATCGAGGAGAGATGGGTCCTCGGAGCTGCTTCGGTTTGGACTCGGGTATCATCTCCTGGAAGGACTGGCCGGGCGGGAGGGCACCCAGACCCCTCTCATCTCCTGCTTTCTCTCCCGCAGGTGTGGGCAAGAGCAGTTTACTGTTACGCTTTGCAGACAACACTTTCTCAGGTGAGTGAACCCCTGGGGGGCCGCCGGGGTGTGTTGGCTTGGAAATGCCTTTCCTTGGTGCCGGAACGTCACTGCCTCTGTCTGACGCTGGGAACGTCCTCCCTGGGGCTGCCCCGTGCGGGGAGAGCAGACAGGAAGCCGGGGCCGGCGGTCTTTGCGGCGGCCTTCGTCTGTCGTGGTCAAGGAGCTCCTTTGCAGGCCCGTCATTGCCCACCTGGAGTCCCGCTGTGCCCCAGCGTGAAAAAAAGCAGTGAGGCCAATATTGCGAGTCAGTGCCCGCCGGTGCAGAATTTCAAACAGGAAGACGTCGGTGAAGTGGAAAGTGAAAGCTGGCCTTTCACTTGCCCCTCGGTGCCCCGGGCCTCTCTGTCTTGCGTCTTTCTCCAGCCCCACAAGCGTATCAAGGGTCACCCTCGCGGGTGGCGTACGGGACCTCTCTGGTTCTCGTGAAGGCCCGAGCAGCTCCCGGGCGGTGGGTGGACGCGCGTGGCTTGCTCTCAGCGCTCTCGAGCTGCGCGGCGCGGGCTCCCGGGCTCAGGGGCGCGGCGTTCCTCGCCACAGCGCGTGTTGATCCCTGTATGGAAGCAGCCGCTGGCTCGGGGGCATCTGTGCAGGAGCAGGTACTGCGCACGACGTTGTGCTCAGCGAGCGCACTCCACGGACGCGTCCTCAGCGCGCGCCTCCCTCCTGGCTGGAGCAGGGGCGAGCGCGCGTCTCCCTGGCCGCGGGCGAGGGGCGGGATTGCATTCGCTGGGGACCTGGAGGCCGCTGCGGAGGCTTCAGGTTGACTCCTCTGAGTGAGGACTGCAGTGTGACTGCGTGGTGGGGGACTTCCTGTGAGGTGGCGGAAAGCCAGCTGTAGTTAGGAAGTGATCAAATCGCTAATTAGGAAGTGATTGTCCTGGGCGGAAAAGTGGGTTTTGCCCCTTACGCCCCGGCCAGGGACCCTGCCACAGCGCGAGTGGGAAGGGGCTGGAGAGAATCGTCTTCTCTGGGCGGCCGGGAGTGTGGCCAAGTCTCCACTTGTCTATAAAGCGGACTGGTCGTCCGCCCTCCCGCGCGGGGTTGCTGGGAGGCTCCCCCGAGCGCCTGGGATGCGTCACCCCAGCGGCGGGCGGCGCGGGTTCTCTCCCACCTGGACGGGAACTAGCGGGCAGCTTGTCCGGAGCTGAAGCACGTTCCTGGCCTTCCTCTGTCTCTGTCTCCCCATCCCGGGCCCTCTCAGCCGCAGAGGCCTCTCTCTCACTGTCTCTTTTCCATCTCCACTCCCGGTGGCTTAGTTCAGGCCGTGGTGGCTCCTCGTCTGAAGCACCACAGCAGCTCCTCTCCATCCCGCCCCGGGCTGCACGCCCTGTCTCTTTCCTCTGTGTACGAACCCAGCGCTTTCGCTTGTGCGGAGCCGGAGCAGCTCCGGGCAGGAAGGGCTTCTGTCCCTGGGTGAGCCCTGCGGCGGTTTCTCCTCTTGGGCATCATGGGCGTGTTGGGCCTGTTGTGCAGGGCTGTCCTGTGCATTGAAGGACACTGAACATCGCTGGGCTCTACTGACGAGGTGTCGGAGACATGTCCCCGGGCCCACTCCCCCACCCGACCCAGGGCCACAGCCAAAAATGTCTGCAGACATCGCCAGTTGTCCTCTGGGGGGGCGGAGGCACGCCCGCTTGAAAAACGCTGGTCTTCATAATTATTTTGGTGCACCTGTCCGCCTTCCTTTCTCACACGGTTTGTCCAGTCTTTTGTTTTTCACTCACTCACTCGCTCAGCGCAAGGTGCTGGGCCCTTTTGATGTCCTCCTTGGCATCCTCTAGGCCAGTGGAGTGCCTGCTGCTGTCTGTTCGCTGAATGGATTCTCTCTGTGCAGGGTCTTTCCTCCGCCCAAGTTCAACCTTTGAAATTCTACCCATTCTTTCAAGCTACACCCAGATGTCACTTCCTCCTGGGAGCCTGCCTTGAGCTCCACCTTGCCTCAAACTTTGACCTATCCTTTGCTCGCAAACAGTCAGTGTGTGTGTGTGTGTGTGTGTGTGTGTGTGTCTTGACTGCGGCACTCTAGTGCTGTGAGCTCCAGTGGAGTGAGACCACGGCCTGCGTTAGTGGGAATGTTACCCAGTCCAGACTTTGTAAGCCTGGGCTGATGCCTACACCAAATCCTCAGCTCCACCTTTCACACAGATGCCCAAGAAGGCGATTTATACTGTAAATGATGAAAACCCATCGTGCCTGTCACACATGAGAGAGTCCAAGCTCTCAACACTGGTGCAGAGGCCCCGAGGTCTGGCCTCTGCCCCCTCCACCTGCTCCTGTGATGTTCGTGACCCCACATGACCCTGTACTGGCTATTGCCATTTCTTGCTACTGTCTTTTCTGCCCAGAGCAATGTTTTTCAAACTGCAGGTCGTGACTTGTTTGTGTGCTAGTTTTGTGGGTCACTTAAATTTCTTGGAATAGAAAGCATAGAAAAGAGAAATCCCGAGTGCCTCATAGGTCTCCCACTGTTCTCAACCCAGTGGCCAGCCTCTAACTAAGGAGCCTGCCCCTCCCCCAGCCATCGCCCCTTTGTTTCATTTCCTTTGCTGCACTCCTGCGCTCTGAATGGTCTTTATCACCTTGCTTCATTGTATCCTGTTTGTTGTCCTCACCTTGACTGTGGGCTCCACCAGGGTGGGGACCCTGTCTGTCTTGTTCAGGGTGGTGTCCCGGGACTTCTGTGTGCCAGGCACAGAGGGAGAGGGAGGGGTCGTGGGGCCCAGGGCTCTGCACCGAGCACCCGTGGGCCGTGTTAACGTACGTGTGTGTGCAGGCAGCTACATCACCACAATCGGAGTGGATTTCAAGATTCGGACCGTGGAGATCAATGGGGAGAAAGTGAAGCTGCAGATCTGGGACACAGCTGGGCAGGAGCGCTTCCGCACCATCACCTCCACGTGAGTCAGGCTCCCCGGCTCCCCTCTGACCCCTCACCACCTGCACTTGGACAGGGCTGAGTGACTGGGTTGTGGTAGAATGTCACTGGGGTGGGCCTCTGAGGCGGTCAGGAGGTGAGCTCATTGCTGACCACAGCAAGTGGTGTTCAGTCGAGTCCTTCCTCTTCCTGAAGATGTGCGCGGAGGAGGGGCAAGGTGTGGCTCCCCCGTCCCTGGCGGAGTAGCCCATGCCAGTCATCCTGCACTTTGGCTGTCAGTTCCTTTGTCTGCAGGATGGGATAAGGGTGGTATTGGCCTCACCAGGTGCTCAGACTAGGTGACAGTTACTCGTTAGGTGTCAGTTGAGACCTCCAGGGTCAGCTGTGAAGGCTCCTGTCACCGCCTGACTTCTGTGAGGTGAAGTCTCTTCTTCGTCGGGAGGCCTGAGGGCGCCCCAGTGTGGAAAGGGCTGCCTGTACTGAGGACAGACTCGCGCAGTTGTCCTCTTCACTGCTGCCTCCCCTGTGTGGTGCGGAGCTGCAAGATGGCGGGAGACTGGCAGAGCTCCTGCAGAGGGGCTCTTGGGCTCTTGATGGAAAGGAAAGATCAGGACTTTGAAGGTGGAGAGTTTGGAATTTACATTTCTGTTCTTGTGCAAATTACCTAAACTTCCTGTGCTTCAGTTCTCCAGAGGATTCTTTAGGATTCTCTCTAATGCCTAGTCCTGCGTGCCAGGTACTCTGTGCTTGGGCTTTGCGTGGGTGATCTCGCTGACGTCTCTGAGGTGCTCTGTAGTTGGTCCTGTTATCTCCATTTCACAGGTGAGGGAACTTCCCTGGGGTCCTGCTCCCAGTGAGTGGCTGGGCCTGGGCTCCACAGCACAGTGTGGGAGCCGGTATCTGGCCCAAAGTCATTGCTTCTTTAGTGGGCGTCCCCTGTGCCCCACCCTGCAGCAGCTTCTTTGTGGAGGGGGCTCTCGGGAAGGTGTGTGAGCAAGTTCCCAGGCCAGCGATCCCTTTCTTCTCTTGGGCATGGAAACACAGCTGACTCCCAACCTAGATATCCATCCTGGGGCGCCTCATCAGCTTCTGAGGGGGGGAAATGTGAGGGGTGATGTTTCCCCCCTTGGTGGTGCAGGGAGTGCTGGGTGGGCCAGGCTGGAGACAAGACCAGCAGGGGGTTGGCACTAGTCCAGGGGGTTGGCCATCCACCTGTTGGATGCAGAGCCAGAGCAGCTCTGGGCAGGAAGGGCTTCTGTCACTGGGTCAGCCCTGCAGCAGGCACATGGTGCCCTGGTCCCTGGGAGCCCCCCACTCCTGAGGGCTGCCCCGCGCGGCTCTCTGTGCTCTTGCTGACGAGCTGGCTGTGGACGGCCATCCTGGGCCCCTGGATCTCAGCAGCTGTCAGCAAGGCCCTGAGCAAGTTGGCCTCAGATTCTCCTTATAATAGGGTTGAGCTGGGGTGGCCGGAGCCTCAGGTGGGGGTCAGGGCTCTGGAGACACTAACTCCGGAGGGCCTTCCTCTCCGCCAGGGCTGCTTTCTTTCACTCAACCCTCGAGAAAGCAGCCTGTGATCGTCTCCAGGCCTGAGATGCCCAGAGAGGCTGACGTGAGCTAGCTTGGTTGCTTGGTCGGGAGCTGAACTGCGGTGTTTGACGCTGAAGCTCATGTCCTAAACCGGAGCAGGCCCTGCCCTCTGTGGCCCCCACTCCTGAGTGATGGCACTGGGCAGATGGCAGAGGCTCTCGTGCCTCCTGTGCCAGTTAAAACCAGTCAGGGGTTTCAGACCCATGGCTGCTAGAAATGCTCCGGGCCTGGCACTCCTGGGTGCCTGGATGCCGGGCCCTTTCAGCAGAGGAGCCTCTGCCCTCCCCTGCCATCCTGAAATCCACCTCCTGCAGCGGGGGCAGGAAGAGGGTGAAAGGCCTCTTCGCTCTTTGGGGAGACTGGCGTTACAGAGCTGCCCGAGGGCAGCGTGTTTGTTCCCGGGTGCTTGAGAGGGGGTGGTGCTGCACGCGGGCAGTCTGTGAGCACTGGCTTGGCCCCCCAGCCGTGCTGCCTGCTTCTCTGTTTGGGGAGGCCGAGGCCAGCTCCATGTTGGGGTCCTTGACTACTGCGTGCGATGGTAACTGGCAAAGAAGGAAGTCTTGGAAAAGTTTAGGAGTTGCTGCTTTGCGGGGATTGGGGCAGTCAGGGAGCAAGAGGGTGGCCTGTTCGGCTTCAGAATATGACAAGGGAAACTCAAGTGGCAGCCTGTTCGCCTGGTGAACACGAGCCTTGCTTCACTCGCCCACTCTGTTGTCTCTTCCCAGCTGGGGTCGGCTGACCCCGAGAGGTGTGTCGGGGGAGGAGGGAGGCCAGGGAGGAGGAAGCCCTTGGACACCTGGCGCTGGACCTGGGAGTCAGACCTGGGCGCGTGGCTCTTGGCGGGGTGACCTCGGGCCGGGCCTTGCCTGCGGAATGGCGACCCTGTGTTGCAGAGAGGCATAAGGTGGTGGCCACGTGCTTGTCGGCGTGCCCGGCAGGGAGCGCAGCTGTGGGGAGTGGGGGCGATCACTGGTGGCGATGGCACTGGAAGCCCAGAGGCTCACACAGCTCCGCACCCCAGCTTTTCCTGAGCAGTGCACTGTCTGGGCCGCCGAGAAGGGGGTGTTCCCGGGGAGGACGTGGCTCAGTGCTGGGGCCATGGCCGCGGGCATTTCTTTGCCTCTCCGGTGGTCTCCAGCAAAGGAGAGTCTGGAAACAGTGCACTGCTTGCCCTTGTTTGTGGGCAGGGGACAGTCCCTTTGGCTCCCCACATTCCTGCACCTGCTCAGGAGGGTCCTCCAGGCCAACCTGGAAGATGACCTGCCCCTCCTCGCAGCAGCTGCCGGAGGGCAGGGCAGGGACGAGCTGGTCCTGAGGGCCTGGTGCTTACATGACTTGGTCAGTGGTCCGCGTGCCAGGGGAGGCAAAACCGTGGGCAGACCTCAGGGGGCGTGTGAGGCGTGGAGACGGGGCAGGGAGGAGGGCGGACCTGACTCCTGCTCGAAGCTGACAGGGACCCTCACCGTGCTTCCCTGGTTCTCTTCCGTGGCAGGAGCCTCAGGTCGCATGGAGGGAGTATTGCAGCCAGCGGCCGTCTGGGCTGTCTAGTGCTCCATGTGCTCGCGGCAAGCCAGCCTGTCCCCTCGCAGCCACCCCGAGAGTTAAGTGCTGGTAGCCCTGTTTTATAGTTGAGCAAACTACTGGGGCGAGGCAAACGCAGTTCCCTTTGCAGGATCCCACAATCCACTGGGTCTGGCCCCTTTGGCCTTTGGCCTGTGATTGGGCCTAGAATGTGAAGAGTTGGCCAGAGAGCCGAGGGGCCGGCAGACGAGAACACAGCAGCCCACAGCCTAGCTGGCTCCCTCCTCACTGCGCCCGTACTTCGTGGAAGGGGAGCTGCTCTCCTGTGGGCCCGGGGCTCGGGCCTGGTGAGCTTCAGGAGGCTGGAGGTGCTTGAGGCTGGGCCAGTGGCAGCCAGCCGGCTGGGAGGAACGGCGTGTCCACTTAGGAGCTGGCCTCTCGCGGGCAGTGATTCTCACCCTCCTGGTCCTGAAGGCCCTGGGAGCACAGAGTGGCGGGGCGGCAGCGCCTCGCCTCTGGGTCATTGACGTTCTCAGGGAAGGCTGAGGCCCTGTCTCCCCTTCCTGGGGTGAGGTCCCCCATCTGTCCTCAGCCGCTGGAATAGAAGGGCACCTGGTGTCTGGAAAGTTGACATTTTTCCCCCTTCCAGACCTTTTCACTGACTTCAGGGTCTGTATGCGTGAATGGGGGAGTATCTGGGGTGCTCTCTTCCTATCTGAGCCTGGATGCCCAGCGGTCCCCATGCTCCCCCTACTGCCGTCATGGAGGAGCCCTGAGTGGCCAGAAGGGAGGTGCCCACCTGCCTCCAGGGAGTGAGAGAGACCCGGGCAGGGCTCACCACTGACTTGTCGTCGTGGAATGGCATTTCACTGAGATTTGAGGAGAGCAAGACATTTTGATTGTTAAAACAAGGACAGTGCCGATATGATGTCAAATTCAAAAATGGCCCGAATTTTAAAAATAAAAACGTCAAAGAAGTTGCAAGGCAGCAGCAGACTGAGCAGGCTGGTTGGCCACTTTAGGGGTTTGCAGCCTGCCTTTCTGGTGCCGTGGACACGTGCGTGCAAGGTGGTGCTGCCAGGCGTCTTCCTTGCGCCACAGCATGTTTCAGGCACGTCCAGCCACGGCCATGCGGAGCGCAGACTCCAGGGCGTGTGGGAAGGCACTTGCCCTGTCGGCATTTCCCCAGCTGTGGACCTGATGGGCGCTGCCGGGTCCTAGTGAAGGGGCTGTTCTTGTTCAGCAGAAGCTCTGACTCAGGTCCCGGCCCTACAGGTATTATCGGGGGACCCACGGGGTCATCGTGGTTTATGACGTCACCAGTGCCGAGTCTTTTGTCAACGTCAAGCGGTGGCTTCACGAAATCAACCAGAACTGTGATGACGTGTGCCGAATATTAGGTGAGCTGGAGCCAGTGGTGGGGTGGCAGGATGGAGGGTGCAGGGGTGCTCCAGGGCCAGGCTGACTTTGCTTTGCCTTAAAGTGGGGAATAAGAATGATGACCCTGAGCGGAAGGTGGTGGAGACAGAAGACGCCTACAAGTTTGCTGGGCAGATGGGGATCCAGTTGTTTGAGACCAGTGCCAAGGAGAACGTCAATGTGGAAGAGGTGAGGCCTGGGCCTGATGGGGGGGGGGAGTGGGGCCAGCTCTGCTCCACGCCACAGCTACTCAGGGCTTCCAGGTGCCAATAAGAAGCAGCCCTATAGCTACCCTCTCTTGGGTGCCTGTGGTGTGCCGGGCATTGTGTTGGGCCCTTAGAAGTCTTAGCTCGTATCTGAGCAGTCCTCTGAGGTAAATGGTTCACATGTTCCAAGTGGAGAAGCTAAGGTTCCAGCTTAGATCTGTCCAGCACCACAGCCAGGCATGGCTTCTACTTGGTCCTCTGCCTCACTGTCTCTGGTCCTACCAGCTGTCACTTCTCCTGCTCTCTGGCTCTGCTTGGGGCCTTGGTCTCCTGCTGAGACCAGGTAGTTTCCTGTGTCTTAAGAGCTCAGGTGGGCACCTGCTATGAGCCCCCTTAGACTCCTGGGGAGACCCCAGCCTGCAGCCCTTCCCTTCTGCCGGGCTGCTAGAGAGCATTTGTGATCCTGTGGGGAAGAAAGCAAGACCTTGGCCCTAGGCTGGCCCCACTCACGGCCTTGGGAGAGAGTCAGCCTCCCAGTGTGTGGAGTCTAGCCACCTGGGGAACTCGCGTCCTCATTGCCTGCCAGACGCAGATTGCACGTGGTGGGGAGCCGGCTTCAGTAGATCTTACCTTGGCTTTTCTGTGCCCACTGATGCCACCACCACTGCTGCCATTAGTGGCTTTTCCCAGTGGAGTGGAGGGCACGTGGGTCTGGAGGCGGAGTTCTGATCCTGGCAGCATAAGGACTTTGCGGGGAAGGGGAGTTGGGAAGGGTCTTGGGCAGGCCACAGACTCCCCCAGACTGTCGCCAGAGCAGGGATGCCGTCATCTCTGTCATCAGAAGATTCCAGCTGAAGGAAAGGGGTCCTTTTCCTAAAAACAAAGTCTGGAAACTCCCTCAGAGGATGACTTCCCTGACATAGCTTGTGGGTCTTTGATATTCCTTTTTGAATTTTGGACAAAATAACTCACCACCTCCTACAGAGGGTTGGAGGACATACGTACAAAAAAATTCTTGCGTAGAAATAGAAAACTGGGGCCTCCCCGGTGGTGCAGCGGTTGAGCGCTGGGTTGTGAAGCTGCCCGCAGCCTCTGCAGCGCCGGTTCGATCCCCGGCTGCTCCCCGGCCGCTGGTGAGGGTCCCACATGGCGCAGACCTCTCCTGACACCTGCTGCTCCCCTCAGCAGTGTACTTCGGTCCTTCTCCCTGCTCTGGCTCTGGTGAATTCTCTCACCCTCCCGCGCTTCTGACTGTACCCAGTGCTTGTATAAATAAATAAATAAATCTTAAAAAAAAAGAAAGAAAGAAAGAAATAGAAAACTGGACCCGGGGAGGAGGGGGGTGGCTGTGCTGGCTTGCAGAGGTAGCACAGCCCTGACGGGACCTCCTCACTAGGTCTTAGGCCTCCCTGCCTCCTTCGTCCTCACAGATGTTCAACTGCATCACAGAGCTGGTCCTCCGAGCAAAGAAAGACAACTTAGCGAAACAGCAGCAGCAGCAACAGAACGATGTGGTGAAGCTCACGAAGAATAGTAAACGAAAGAAACGCTGCTGCTAATACCCCAGCCCGCCCACCACAGAGACTGCACTGCGCCGCTCCCCGCCTCAGGCTGCGGGGCTCCTGGGGGACAGTCTCAGTTTTGTGCCGTTATTTAAAGAATTCTCTCAACGTTTTTTGTACTGGGAGGCGCCATCGGCACTTCCTCCCCTCCCCCCTCGAGTGCCAAGAAGGTAATGGACAAGCCTGCCCTTCCCTTCTGGCGCCCCTGCCCCTGGCCAAGGCGCCTGGGCCCGGCGAGGATGCTGCCAGCCGAGTGGACTGATTAACCTGTTTGTATATAATGTATATTGCTTTAACCAGCCACACCACCCTCATCCTGCTCTGGCTTCGCCTCCGTAACGCCAGCCTGCTGTCGCAGGTCCTCGCCCCCATCCAGCCTGCCCCCCCATCTCACCGCCAGCAGCTTCCTGAGGCGGCAGGATGGTGTTCTAGCCACGTCTTTTGCCAACCTGGGCTGGCGCAGTGGGCTCCGTGCTTCTTGTGCTCTCCTCCAGGCAGTCGACTTCTGTCTCTGGCACGCAGGGTCTCACCACTCTCTACAGCCTGTGGGGTCTGTGTTCCAAGCCCAGCTCCCCTCTCTCATCTCCTGCCCCGCAGCCATTCTGGCAGCTGGGAAGCCCCAGGCTTTGAGAGAAGCCTGGGGCTTCCCGTTAGAGGCCCAGCCCTCTGGTTCTGCAGAGGGAGTCACTCCTGCCCTTCGGCCACCAGATTTCCTGCCCTGACTTCTAGATGCCTCTGAGCTACAAACCCAGGGGGGCCGTGGCTTCTAACTTAAACCAACACCTTTCGGTTCCAGCAGAAAGGCAGGGGTGCGTCTGTGCAGGGACAGGTCTTCAGGAGGGCTTAGGTGCATTATTTTAACAGATAAAGAAAATGAAGCCAAATGAATTAAGCTCCTCATACTTACTGTCTCTTCCTGGGGTTTGGCTGGCACCGCAGCAGAGCTGGGGCCTCCCCACTTTCTCGTCCAGTGTTTTTAGGAAGAGAGAGTGACTTCCTGCCGCTGTGGACCGGGCTCCTAGCAGAGCAGTGCTGCCCCCGGGCCACTTCTTGGTGGGAAAAGAGAAGGGCTCCCTTAGGGCCCCGACACCTCTGGCTGGGGAGAGGGGCCGGGGCTGCTGGACCATGGGGGTGCTTCTGAGCTGGAGGGGGGCTGCCCCAGATCACTGACAGAACGAGCTCAGGACACCGGCAGCGTGAGGATTTCTTAGCAGGTGGAGGAACAGCCGCTGGGCGGGGTGCCAGCTCTGTCCCCTGAAAGGAAAAAGAGGGACACCTGCACTTGGTTAGTCCCTCTCGGGACAGTCGTTCACCTTTTCCCGAAAAGGATCACGTAACCTGGGAATAATTTATTTCAGCATCATGATGTGTTGTACGAGATGTCTTTTCCTAGGTAAAATTTCCAGGCGAAGCGATACCCAGACCCTTGTCTGACTGGACAATCACATCACAGATCACACTGCGGATTTTCCATGTTAACACTGTTGATGGGTTTTTAATCAATAAAAAAGCTGGGGATTCCTTCTGACCTGTCTTTCCACTTCCCCCACCGGCCCAAAGCCTGAGGTTCTGCACGACAGGCCTTCCCCTCGGAGCCACAGGACAGGTGGGGAAGCGCGTGGAGGCCCTGCAGGGCCGGGCCACAGACCGCCCCGCCTGGCCGGGGAGGGGGCGGGGGTGTGGCCTCTGCCCGCGGGACCTCCTGGCTGGCCTGGGTCCTGTGAGGTGCCCAGAGCTTGGGCTCCCGGGGTGGGCTGCACACCGAGCTCCGGGGACTCGGGCGGCGCCGGTATGGCAGCGCTTGCAATTCCAGCAATAAAAGGGGGCGGGTGAGGGTTCTGAAGCTTCGTCCAGACCAGAGGCCACCAGGCTTCTGGCCACCGGACTGCCAGACCCAAGTGGTTGGTGGAAGCGGCTGGTGGGGTGATTTTGGTGACCACAGTGTGCCTGTCCCGCTGAGTGTCACGCGCATGAGAGGGGAGGGGGGAAGGGGACCCACAAGGCTGGACGGACGTTCCGGTGAACCTGATGTGAAATTCCTATCGAACAACAAAACTTTTAAATGGTTTGCTAGGATTATTTCTGTATCGAAAGTTTCTAATTATGCTTTTTAAAAAAAATACTAAAAATAAAGGTTCAAGCTGCCAAGTTCTCTGCCAGGATCTGTTTCCTCTCCAGCTGCTCCGGGTGGTGGGGGCCTCTTCCCGCCCCGGGTGTCCGGCTCATGTTCTGGTCCGAGTCCTGCGCCGCTGCCCAGGGATGCTCGGAGGCCAAGTTCACTTTCTCCGTTAAAGGTTGGTCCAGGCGGAGCAGCTCCTGGGGTTTGGCACGCTGGCTGGGAGGGCGTGCGGGCAGTGCCGGGGGGAGCACCGTGTTTATTCTCCGCAGGCCGGAAGGATGCCGTGGGAGACTCTGCCCGCGGCGCCTGCTTTCCGGCTGAAGCTTCTGCCAAGCAGTGGGGTCCGCTGGAGGCTCGGGAAGCAGTGCTGGCAGGGGCGGCCCGTCGGCGGGCACACCGCAGCTCTGGCAGGGAGCCGGGGGCGTGGAGGCAGTGCCTGTGGCCACAGCTCCCCGTTCAGCTGTCACTTGACGGGATTCCTCCCGCCTCCACCCTCCCAGAGAGGTGCCCCTCCTGGCCACAGCCCCGCCAGCCCGGGCGGCTCTGAAATAGAAGCTGCACCTGACCCCGTGCTCCAGGTGCCCAGTAACAGAGGCGGGAAGCTCTGTAGAAATTCATTTTATTCTTATTCAGACTATTTTCAAAAGAAGCAGTGGTGCGCTGTTTTTCTAAAAATATGCCTTTATAGATTTATACATAATATGTATATTATAAAATCCATACATGTATTTACATGGTGGCTACATACAAAATTACAGCACTGTGGTATGTACATATCTATAGGTACATTCTTTCCACTCATCCCTGCTGTGCTTTTCCCGGGGAAGGACGGGAGACGAATCCGTCCAAAGCAGCTTGCGGGCTGACTCAGCCCAGGGCCTCAGCAGAGAAGGTGGAGTGGCTGCTGAGGAAGGAGCAGAAGCAGCAGGTTGCAGGACTCACCCTTCTGCAGGCCTGGCGGGCAGTATCTGGAAGCATCCACCTCGTGGTGCCAACCCTGCCCTTGAGGTGGAGGTGAGGTGGCTGACCAGGCCCCTCTGGGGCCGTTCTGTGGCCTGGATGTGCTTGGCCGAGCCAAGAACTTGTCAACGGGAAGGGAACGGGGAACTTCGGGAGGCTGAGACCCCCCCCAGGCCCTGGGAGGGCCGAGGGCCCGTGAGAACACCACGGCTGGCCGCCCTCGGTGGTGGTGTTCTGGACGCAGCTGGGAGGTCAGTGGCAGCCAGGGGAGGTCAGTGGCCAACCCAGGCACAGACCACTGCGGCTGAGTGCAAGAATGGCCCTTGCTGGCAGGGCCCCGAGGCTACAGACTGGGTCTCCTGCCCACAGAGATGCTCCTGGCAGAGGTGCATGCACTTGGGGCGGGACCGCTCCTCTCCTTACTCCCTGGGCAGGGGCCTGGGGAAAGGAAGGAGGTGCAGGTCTGGGCCTGGAGCCCTACAGGACTAAACCCCCGAGGCCCATGAGGCTCATGGCAGCCGGGGGCAGCGATGGCCTCCTGAGGCATGCAGAGAAGGGCTTCCATTTCTTCTGTCCCCATGTTCCAAAGCAGGAGAGCAGTGGTGCCCGGAGCAGGGAGCTGGAGCCACTGAGGGGTGGACGGGTGGGCTGTGATCCTTTGGGTGTGAGCAGCAGAGCCAAACCAAGGGGCTGTTCTGGAGGCAGCTGGGCCCTGCTGAGCAACAGCAGATCCTGGGCGAGCCCAGGCTGGTCCTGGTTGGCGGTGGGGACAGGGCTCTGCGTCCCCATCAAGGGCAGCCACCAGACAGTGCAGCGGCCAAGCCCGGCCCAGGGGAGCCCTAGTAGGTAGACAGTGCGCCGGGCCCTTGTCTGTACCCCCTTTTCAGCCACCTCGGTCCACCCATCCCCAGTAGCCTGACTCCTTCCAACTCAAATTTTCCTGAAGAATGAGAAGAGCCGTTTGCCTTCAGTGGTGCCAGGCTCATCCCCGCGCCCTGGGCCGTGGGCCCTGGCGAAGGCAGCAGCAGGCCGGCTCCGTTCCTTCAGGTGCGTGTCCATCAGCTGCCGGTCAATGACCCTGTGCATGTCATCCTGCAGGGGCAGAGCGGAGGAGGCTGAGCGGGGCTCCTGGTGCGGCGGGCAGAGGCGGCGGGGGTCAGAGGACAGCGAGATGAGGATGAGGGGTGGGATGGGATGAGTGAGCGGCTGCAGCCAAGGCTGCACACGACCGGGAAAGCAGCAGTGTGGGTGCGATGCCAGACACACAGCACGCGGGCCCTCCGCCCCGCCAGGGCTTTGGCTGCTGCTTGCTAGTGCTCTCCCCCACCGACCCCCGAGGCTCACCCCGCACACCCGGAGACCTGCCACAGCGATGCGTCCTGTCTGTCTCCTTCCAGGCCTCTGCCCTCTCTCCCATGTCTCTCAGGGTGGGTGTCTGCTTGTCTCTGCTCCCCCACATCCCTGCAGGCCCCAGGAGGACCTCAGCTGCCAGTTCTCGGGCCCAATGGCCTGGCTGCAGAGGGCTTCTCCTACCCTGGCCCCCTCTTCAAATTACCACCAGCCTATGCTGCTGACACCCAAGCCCCTAGGGCAGCCCCATCCGGTGAGGGTCAAGGCTCCCTGGGTGGTGCCCTCGTCCATCAACCACACGCTTTGGCCCCTAGCGGCGAGGCGCCCACAGTGGCAGAGACTATCTGTGGCACCACCATCTCCAACTCAGGCCCGCTTCCTTGGCTTCCTCACTGGGGTAGGATCCTTCCTCCTCCAACCTGTCCAAGTTGCCAAGAACATGGGCCCCCCACCCCAACCCCAATACAGAACAGCAGCTCCCACTGCGGAGGAGCCGCCACACAGCAGCCCCTGGCCATTCTAACTGCGAGCCCCTTCTGGGAAGGTGACGAAGGCTCTCTGCCACTAATACGGGGGACAACGTGGTTTAGTGATGTCAGCGGCCAGCCTACGTGTGACATCAGCCGTGAACAACACAGCCAGCGTCCCCCGACCCCTCAGCCCCTCACCCCCCTGAGATGTCCTGGTGGAGACACCGAGCCTCGGGCTGAGCCTGGAGTGGTCAGTGGCTGGTGTCCGAGCACAGGACGGTGAGGCCTGTGGTCAGGGCCGAGAGCTCTGCAGCCCCGAGCAGCCGCCTGATGAGGACAGGAAGTTGGGCTGGCCAGCCCCTCCCTGACCAGCTTGTCTGTCACCTCCTCCAGCTTGTCTGTTTCCCTCTCTCTCTCACCAGTGGGCGTCACCTGAAGGTCTCTGCAGATCTCAGCATGAAACAAAGGGCCTGCTGCCCACGTCACCCTGTGGCAACGAGTGTGGGCTCGGGCCCCCTCCCCCGCTCCCGGCCTGCCCACCTGCCTTCCTCCTCCCTGGCCTGGCCTCCTTCCTACTTGATTCCTTCTGGCGCCTCTCTTCCTCCCCAGAACAGAGACCCGGCCCCCACTCTTGAGGCCCCAGCACAAGGCCCTCCGCCTAGGGACGTGCTCAGGACAGGGACGTGGTTAGGTCCATTAGAAACAGCAAAGGGTCCCTTGGAAGGAAACCCTCTCAGAAGAAAAAACGCCACTGTTTTGTCTTAGACGTTGCAAACCGCACCTGTTATACTTTAACATTGCGTCAAGGTCACCCCATGAAATGGTCAGACGTGCACATACGCGCACTATTCCCGATCCCCTGTCTGCTGTTAACAACCCACTCACGAGGCGGCGGCCCTGGAAGCCCAGGGATCAGCGGTCAGCACCGGGCTGCGCGCTGCCAAGCTCACTGGACATGACGGAGATGGAGAGGCGCGGGCAGGCGGATGCGGGGCGCGGAGCACTGGATGAGGCCGGGCGCCGGCACACAGAACACGGTGGCCGCGAGGGGCGGGCAGACTGCGATGGCAGCAGGGAGGGGTGGGTGGGATGAGGGCTCAGTCTCACCTCAAAGGCAGGAGGGGTGTACAACTAAAGCTGTTGATACGGGAACTGAGAAAGGCCACTAGATCAGAAACCAAAGGAGCCAGATAGTAAAAAGCCCTGAGGAAGCAAACTGTAGCCAGGAGAGAAGAGAGAAGAACAGGGCGGTAAGCCAGGGAATCGCCAGCTGGCCACTGGGCGGGAGGCCAAGGGGCCCGGGACCAGCTCGGGGTGCCAGAGCTCTGCGGCCAGCCAGGCAGGGCCCCGGGGAGTGGCCACGGCTAGCCTGCCCTCCACGGCGGGCTCGCCTCATACAGCCACAGGTGGCTTTCGTTTCTGAGCAGGATTTCTTGGGTGGAAACATGAAGGGTTGCACCCATATCCTGAAACTGCTACCCTAGCCCTCGTCAACAAGCAGCAAGTCTAGCCCGGTCTGTGGGGAGCCGCGCAGGGCTGACATCTCCCGCGTCCTGGAGATGGACACGCTGGCTCATTTTCCCCAGGCTCTCACGAGACAGTGTGCTTTGGAAAAAGGAAGCTGACCGCTGAGAAGGGGAAGGGCCGCAGCTGCCGCAAGCCCAGGGCTTAGTCAGTCACAGAGGGTGTCCTCGGCCCTCCATGCTCACCGCTGTTTCTTTCTAGATAATTTAAGCAAAGCCAAGAAGACCAGCGAAAGGCGGTGCCTGTTCCCAGCCTGAGGTCCCCACTGGCCCCAAACAGCCAGGGTTTGCCGCTGAGAACACCCTCAGGCAATCTCCCCCAGGGACCAGGGAGGGCGAGCTCTGAATTCGCTGAGTGAAGACTGGGGGGTTACGGCTCACCCAGACACACGGGCCCCTCCAGTAACAAACTCCTTCCACTCTGTGTGGCTCCGAGACTCCTCCCGGACCTGGTTTGCCACCGCTCTGGGTCTCAGGGTGCTCCTTTACCTGCCAAGCCTCAAGCTGCTGTGAGAGGTTCAGTTTCTGCTGAATGGCGTCCAGCAGCTGGCTGTTCAGAGACATCATGTCCATCTTGCACTTGGCGAGCTCCAGCTCCATGGCGTTCTTCCTGCAAACGCACAAACCATGGGCGTCTGGCTCCTTACCTGGGGCACCTGGTAAGGAAACAGACTCTGCCCCCAAACTGACAACTAACAACTAACAGTTGCTGCAGCAGTAACTAGGACGCTGCCCTCGGAAGGCTGGCAAGCTGGCATTGGGCTGTCACCAACACTTCTCAATGACTGTGACCAGTCTGCTGGTAAAGGAGTATTTGTCACCCCAATCTCACAGATGCAGGAGGTTGAGAGTGGTTCAAAGGATGACACTTAGAGGGACCCAGGGGAGATGAAAGACCTCACATCGTACCAGGACTGCCATTCCTTCCCCCAAAAGGCCAGTCCCCAGGAACTGCTTTACACAAGCAACTCCATTCCCTGAAGGGGTGTGTTCTAAGACATGTGTGTGAGTTAGCCACAAGCAGTGATCGCCACGACTTAACTGATCATGGTAGCCCATAGTGAAGGGTAAGTTCCCTGATGGAATGCGGTTGCCGGGACCTGGCTGTGGGAAATACTCCCGTGTACTGCTGAGTGGAGAGAGCACAGACAAGGTGTGATGGGAAACCACCTTGGTGAAAGGTGTACCACCTGTGTGCATCTGAAGGGCTTTCACAGAAGTTCTACTGCCCACCATCACTGATGGGTACCTGTTTTCACACGTCTGCATTTCATATTTTCACATTTTAACGTTTACATATGACTTTGCTAGCCTTCCCTACCAGTCGTAAATCATAAATGTTTAATGAAAAAGAAAAAAAAAATGGCGGGGCAGGGGAATGGGAATCAAAAGTGCAAGAGACCAGCTGGGCAGTATTCGCTTGGGCGGCACGGGCCACTCCGCTGTGCAAACGAGCACCCTCGAGCTCCTCTCTGCACCTACCACCGCCTTTGTATTTGGAACCGCAAAGTGAACAAGTGTCCTCCTTGCACAGGGCCAGTGACCAATGTCGGCCCAAGAGCAGTGAGGTCCCAGCCGGGCCTCAGGACTGCACCAGCTACACGCAGCCGGAAGACGGAGCAGCTGGGTCCCATTTGTAAAGCACCCTGACCAGCACTTCCTCCGGCCGCAAGCTCACCGAGCAGTAAGTCACCTCCTTGATACCCTCCTGCCTGCGGCTCCCAGCTCCTCTACTGGTCTGCTTAGAGAAAGCGCATGCGCACGGCTGTCAGCCTCCCGCCCTGCCTCTCCGAGGCTGCAGGACTGAGTCTGTCCAATCAGCGTCGGTGTCTCAGACGCCACAGTCTGCCTCGTCACGCCCGCTGCCATTGGCTGGCGGCGAACAGCGGAAATCCTCGCGCGGCCTCCGTTGCCATGGACGCTCCGTTTCCACCCCTTTCGCCTAGCGCGGAAATTCAGGGCACACCGCGGGCTTCCAGGGCATCTCCGGCAGGGGGCGCCACAGCAGCCTGGCGACCGGGAAAGCGGGGCGGCCAGAGCCGGCCTTGGCACGTGTCATTCTTTAGAAACCCCAGACAAAATTTTTTTTTCTTATATCGTTGTGGTCCTCATAGTTCTACCGCCACCGAAATATGGGGACTTAAACGATGTAAGAAATTTTTTTTTTTTAAATTAAAAAAACAAAAAAATTGGGCCTCCCCGGTGGTGCAGCGGTTGAGCGCTGGGCTGCAAAGCTCCCGCAGCCTCTGCAGTGCCAGTTCGATTCCCTGCCACCCGGCGAGGATCCCACATGGCGCGCAGACCTCTCCTGCTGCCCACTGCTTCTCTCAGCAGTGTATTTCATCAGTCTGCCTGTTCTGTTCCCGGCTCTGGCTCTGGTGAATTCTCTCACCCTCCCGCGCTTCTGACTGTACCCAGTGCTTGTATAAATAAATAAATAAATCTTTAAAAAACAAAAACAAAAACAAAAAAACTCCAAACCAGGAAGCCAAACTGTAGAAGCTGCTCATTAATACGTAAGTCACAGTTTTAAAAAGGAATATTCCAGAGGGCTAGAAGAATTCCTTATTTAAATGAAACCAGTAGCAACTGACTCCTTGTTTGGGTAAGGCTGGCTGCTCGCTCCAGGTTTTTGTTTTTAGTGAGGGCCTTTCACCCACTGGAGATAAACTTGTTACTGACCTATTCTGAAACTTATCTATGATACAGGATAACGTAGGCCTCACAATTGCAACTCAGTGAAGACAGGGAAGTTAAGTCCAGGGGAGCTCTTTCCTCTGACTACACATCAGAGGTGCAGGGTGCAGGGTGCTCTTAAGAAGTAGCTCCAAACCCAGACATTCAGGCTGAACTGTTCCGTGGAGACCCTGTCATCTGGGGAGCTCCTCACATGATTCTAAAGCGATTCTAGGACAGAGAATCAGGATGACATGCATTAAAGCCTTCTGTGAACCTCCAGACTCAATACTCCCATAGTGAAGCTCTGCCGCCCCTAACTAAGGGATTCCGTAGGGCTGTTGTCTCAGTTCCTGGGACCTTTCCTGTCCCGCCCCTTAGCAGTGTGTTTCAGAAGATCTGCCTGTTCTGCTCCCCACTCTGTCTCTGGCGAATCCTCTCATTCCCCATACCTCTGGTCAACACCCCAGTTCTTGTATGCACAAATCAATTAAAAATAAAGAATGCACAGTGACATGAAAAAATCTCACAATATTTTAAATAAAAGCTGGTAATAAATTTTATATACAAGATGTTCTCAATTTTATAAAAAAAATCATTCAAAAAAGATAGGAAGGAAATATATTAAATATTCAGGGCCATCAATTGAGGTGAGAGTTATGGGTAATATTTACTGCCCTCTTAATATTGTTTTTCAAAATACTGGATTTTCAAAATCTAAAATTTCTCACAGCTATATTGCTTTTATATAACCCATCAAATATTTTTAAGGTTCTGGCCCTTGGAGCTTTCCTTTGGGGAGGATGTACATATAAAATGTGGATGAGGGTCTCCCTGATGGTGCAGGGGTCTCAGCCCTATCAAGGTATCCACAGCCACTGCAGCCTGAGTTCGAACCCTGGCCAGGGAGCTGACCCACATAGTGCAGCAGACCTCTCCTGTCTCGCCCACTGCTTCCTCAGCAATGTATTTCAGTACATCTGCCTGTTCAACTCCCCACTGTGTCTCTGGTGAATCCTCTGTGGCCTGCACCCCTGCTCTTGTATGCATAAACAAATAAAAATAAATCTTAAAAAAAAAAAGATACATGGGGGGAGCAAGATGTGCAGCACATCATTCCACTGATGTTAAAAACAAAACGGAGATAGTGCAGAGAGGCTGCACATACACAGGAAAAGACCTGCAAAAACTGCACACCTGGATTTCAAGAGTGATGTATGTCTGGGGAGAAGCATGAGATTGGGGGTGAGGGCGGATAGCAGGGAAACCTTTACTTCTGTGTCCTGTGCAAGGTAACTTTTCAGATGGAGTGTGAACACACGTCAGTTGTGACTGAGATGAAATCACATGTGCTCACTCACTTTGCGATGGCTTCATCCCGGTCCCTGATGGCCTTCTGAAGTTGCTCCTTTGGTTCCTTGTCCTCAGATGTCACTCTGAGGCGGTCTCTCTCCTCCTTCAGCGCAGTCATCTCCACACTCAGCAGTGTCACCTACCAGGAGACCACAGAGACTCACACGACTGCCGCTTCCCTCCGCGGGGAAGAGAGCCCCAGGCTTCCTGTTGCCCACCCACCCCCAGGGCGTCCACCTCTCGTGAAGAGTGAAATGGTGGCAAAGGGCTGGGGGGTGGATTCCACCTGGGGTTATCATGGGCTGCACACCACCTCCGCCTCAAAGCTGCCTGGCCCTGATGATGACGGCCATGTGTGCATCGGGGTTCGGGGTGGAGACTCGGGTTTTATTTCCAGTCATCTTGCACTCCGCATGGAAAGCTGCGGGTCCCCCTCTGGGCTACTTCCCATCTCTGCAGAGTCTGTGGTGTGGGCTGTCCTGCCACCCTCATTCAGTTCCCGAGCCAAAGTGACATGAATTTAGACACCTACACGGTTTCTGCACCCTGCACTGCAGATCTGTCCCCTATGCGGTGGCCCTGGCCTTGGTGAATGGCACCAGGGGCCCCCGCACTGGGGGTCATCCTTTGGTGGCGAGGTGCTCCCTGAGCTCTGCAAGGCAGCAAGTGTGTCCTCCTCGCCACCTGCCAGCTTGGCCCGACAGCCTGTGTGCTCAACCCCAAAAGGCTCGTGCGGAGGACAGCTGTCATCTTTTGGGTATTCATCCAAAATCCCTTCCTATATTGGGGCATAACTAGCTGGTGTGAGTCTTGAGGAGAGACAGGACTTGCCCTCCCACCGGGGAAGCCCAAGGGGCAGAGACATTTCCATCCCCAGGCACATGGCATGTGACCTAGACTTGCCAGTCACCCCACCTGAAAACGCAGCTCCTGAGGGCCGAGGAAAGCCAGGGACAGGCCCTATACGGACAGACAGAGGCTGTGTCTGTTGCTTCCCACGGCCGCTTCCTGTCTCGGAGCTCAGTGCTCCGGCCTTCCTGCTGCTTCTATAAGCTACCAGATTTAATTCCAATACATTATCTTTCTGCTTAAGCTAAGCAGAGCAAATTTCTGTTGTTTGCAACTAGAAACTCCGCATGGCAGAGCTTTCAGTAAATATTTGCTGAATGGATGGAAGGGCGGGAGTCCCTTCTCACTGCTGATAGGGTTAGGCCTGGGTCAGACGCCTGACTCTGCCCTCTTGTCAAATATCACACATACTTGGACATCTTTCCAAGGGAGGCTCCATCCACAGAGGTCTGTCCCTCCCACAGGGAGACAGATGTCACCTGTCAGTATATGCCTCTGCTCTTCAGGTCTAATCATCTCCAGATGGACTGAAATGGAGCTAAGGCCCCAGGACTAAGGATGTTGATCGAGCTTCCCAGGACTCTTTGGAGTCCCTGGATTGAGAGAGCAGAGTCCCCAGCCCCTGGGGTGTCAGCCATGAGGGAGGAAGTCAGAGGACACCCCACTCTGATGAGGGGAGAGGATGATTTGTCACCACTGTGCATGTTGTACCTCTCTGCGGCCGGCAGGAGAGGTCAGTCTGGTGCTCTGTGCTGACAACAGCCCAGAGTGGCAGCTTTTCTGGCGGAACGGTCCGGTGAGCAGAGCAGGTGCAGAAGCCTCAGGAAAAACAGGCTGGAGCAGCTGCAGAGGCCACGGCATACACTCACAGCCAGGCCTTGCCCTGTGCTGTACTGGGCTCTGCAGGCTGGTGGGCCAGACTCAAGGCTAGGAAAACATGTGGTCAAGAAAGCCAAACCACGGGCCCCGCCAGCTGAGGCGGCGACAGGTGAAACTACACGCTAGGTGGGAAATGCTCCAGACATGGCTCCACGGGGACCATGATCATGTCAGAGACCACCAGCTCTCTGTCTTGGAAGTGACAAGGGACTGACACTCTGAGAGCACCTATTTTCCATAAAAAGCAGGAATAAAAACAACCGCTATCCACTACCAAGTAGTTGTAAGAATCAGATACAATAAATAGCATAGCAAGTCCAGCCTGGTGCCGAGCCCAGGGTGGTGACCCTCCCTTCTCCTCTCTCACCCTGCCAGGCCTGCTGGCTGCAGCTGTCAAGGGGATGAATCTGGCTCACTCACACATGTTAGGTTGAAGCCACCCCTAAACCCACCTTCCCCAAATAAGAGGGGTGTCTGTGATTCCATAACATCAAAGCTGTGCTTCAGGAAGATCATCCAGGTTAAGTGAAAGGGGGGTAGGCTGAGGGGAGGACATGTAAATTGGGAAGCAGCGAGCAAAGCTAGGATGTGAAAGAAAATAAGTCTGAAATAGGGGGTACGGGGTGCAGGGAGGCAGGGCTTAAGATGCGACCACAAGTAGGGCAGAACCTCCATACATGACTCTAGTCAAAAGAAACAGCCTTTATTTATGTCCCAGGATGGATTTTAGAAGATCCTTCCTGGTGGGGCTGCTCCTCAGCCTTTTAAAGAATTTCAGATCAGAACACAGATGTCCTTCTTCAGGGTTCTCCAGAGATGAAATCCTGATCAAATGGGAAAGGCACAGCAAGAGTGATCTCACTGCAAATGAAAGTAAGTCACTGCTTCTAAGCTGAAAAACAGGCTGCAGAGGTGAAGGCACTTACAAAGCGAGGGCAGCCCTGCAAAGATCAACAGTTCCTGGTTTGCAGACTTCCCTGCTCAGCAGCGGCTGGAAAAACATCTGTAAGTGTCCTGGGAGCTGTGGCACTTTAAGCTGTCAGAAGCCCCGAGATTCCTCTGGCCTTCGCTGGAGAAACAGGGGGTCAGCTATTCTTACCCCTGGCAATTTCTCTTTGGGCTAAGACAGGACCGGTTTGTCTTGAAGACCCAGCTCATCTCAGCTTCAGGTCATGGTCCCTGAGGGTCTGTCAGAGTCACTTCTCAAACAATTGTGGGGGACCACGAGGGTCTCAGCGAGCCCAGGGCACAGCACATCCCTACTCTGCACTGAGTGTGGGGGTGCTCACCTGGCTGTGGAGTCGCTGCAGTTCTTCTAGGCTTTGCCTTAGTTTACCCCTCTCTCCCTCCATGAGCTCCCTGAGGGCTCTCGAGTCCTCACTGGTCTGCCTTATCTGTTCTTCTAAGGCGTCGTCATCGATTCTCCGGGAACTCTGACAGCACAAGCGGGGGAGCCGCAGGCCAGAGAGGTGGCAGGAATGCAGGGGGTGATGGAGGGGGGCAGCGAGATGGTCAGTGAGAGAGGCGGAGGGGGAGATGTGTGAGGTAGAGGGGAGTGATGATTGGGGGAGACAACAGGGGAGATGGGGTCCAGAAAGAGCAGGGGGAGACAAAGAGGAGGTAAGGAAGAAAGGTCAGAGGAGAGAGATTCTCTTGCTCAATTTCAATCTACAAATACCAGCCAGACATTTGTTTCTGTCTTGTACTTTAAGAGAGGGGAATTGGGGCCTCCCCGGTGGCGCAGCGGTTGAGCACTGGGTTGCGAAGCTGCCCGCAGCCTCTGCAGCACCGGTTCGATCCCCGGCTGCTCCCCGGCCACAGGAAGAGGGTCCCACATGGCGCGCAGACCTCTCCTGCCGCCCGCTGCTCCCCTCAGCAGTGTACTTCGGTCCTTCTGCCTGCTCTGCTCCCCACTCTGGCTCTGGTGAATTCTCTCACCTCCCCGCGCATCTGACTGTACCCAGTGCTTGTATAAATAATAAATAAATCTAAAAAAATAAAAAATAAAAAATAAAAAAGAGGGGCACTGGCATGCACAGCACACGTCACTCTACGGCCCCTTGTCCCACACCACACGCCCCGCAAGCTGCACCCTTGCGGCCTCCTTCATTTCCCGTGGGAAGGAAGACCTGGCTATTCTGCAGAAGGAAGATGCCTGAAGAGAACTGCCCCAGAGCTGAGGGTATGAAGAAGTTGTCTGCGGAAATCTGTCCAGAGGTTGGAAGACCTGCGTGGGCCCAGGAAGCCCCTGGCACTTTCCCTGCCTCCAGGCGCCACATCTGGAATTGCAGAAGGACCTGTCCCTGGCTTCCTCCTCTTTCTTTGCTTGCTTACATTCTTGGGGCAGAAGCCTCAGCTCCTCTAAGTTTGCCTGTTCACAGCTAACCCCACCATGGGGACCTGGATCAGCAGGCTTCAGCACTGCACTTTGCCGGTTTTATCCTAGGCCCAATTTCCATATTCAGAATTTTGAAGAAAAGCCTTGAACTCGAGGCTCCTAGGCTCCGTGGTGGGGGCATAACTATGCGGAGGACGAACTCTAGGTGAACCCTAGAGTCTGTGGGAGGACGGCTCTGGAGCGTGCTAGCCCTAGTACTCAGCCTCTCTCCTCCGGCAGGCAGGCTGTCAGGACAGGCTCAGAAGAAACTCCCGCAGAGATAGTTTAAAGTCCCGGTGACAGGTCAACCTCACCATCTGCACTCGGTTTCAGCCGGCCCCCAGGTGGGTCCTGTGGGCCCAGGACCCTCTCGCCCGCCCCTTACCGTGGGCTCCATGCCGTCCACGGTGCTCTGGATCAGTCTCTTGAGCTCGCTGAGGGCGGTGCGCAAGCTGCCGGCTGGCACGTCCTTGGCAGACGAGGTTTCTGAAGACTCGTCCATTGAGGAGTCCGTGGAGACGGCCGAGTCGGCGCTGTCGTTCCCGCGGAGGTGCGAGCAGAGATAGCGCACCTGGCAGTAGGCCTCCCACAGCTGCAGTCTCAGCTGCCCACAGAGAATCACCATGACTACGGTCTCGAGAGCGCTGGTACCCCGCCATCTTCCTACCTGACACCCAAGGGACCAGTTCCAGGAGAAAGGGCTTTTTGGCTTTCTTTTTAAAAAATTACCTGTCCCAAGAAATGCTGATATTTACTTGGGGCCAGCAATTCCGTACAGGACCCCAGTTCCTATTTTCCCGGCTGTCAGTCCCCACCCTTGTGCCCTAAGCATTTTTCTAGATAGTCAGGTGCATGACATTAGTGGGAGTCAGTGCCAAGTAAGGGTTCTGGGTAGTATATGCAGCAGCCAATTGGATGGTTCATGAATATTCTAGAACTCTGTCAGTACAAGAGCTAGGAAGCTGATGATTATCTAACAAGCATATCCTAAGAGGCAGGACCGGGCTCTGCCCATGGCATGTCATCCTCTGCCATTCCCACTCTGTGCCTCGACGGACAGGGTGGGTGGGAAACAAGGCCCAGGGATGGGCTTTGGCTGTGCTTCAGGGCAGTTCTAGCCAGCAGGCTCAGAGCCTGCACAGATCGTGGGCCCTTACTGGGTGGACGCTGAAGCATTGGGCCTGGAGCCCCAGAAGCCCAGGGCTGCCCCCGGAGGCCAGACCACCTCACACGCAGAAGTGGAAGGCGTCAGCACCTGCTCCCTCTCCTGCTCCAGCTCCTCGGCCTCCATGCTCTGTTCTATCTCGGACAGAAGGGACGTGCTGGTGGCGGCGGAGCTCTGCAGGCTCCTCTCCTCGGTGAGCTCTTCCACCTTCACCTGCAGCTGCCGGCAGGACAGCCGCACCTCCTGGAGCTCCAGCTGGCTCTGATGCAGCTTTCAAGAAACAGCAAATGGCAGTGAACTCGCCCAAGATAAGCACCTTACTATGCCACTAGCCCCACTTCCAATTTACAGAAAAATACAGAGAGGGAACACGCTGGACTAGGGGGCCATAGGGGGGCAGTCAGCAAAACCCAGATTTGGGAAATTCTACAAGACAACTCAATTTCTTAAACAAGTCAATTTCAAGGGGAAAAAAAATAAGGGCGGGTGAACCTACAGATTAAGAGATTTGAGAAGCATATCAACCAGGTGCAACTTGCAGGTTTATTTTACTTTGTATCTTGAGTCAAATGAAAAATGTGAAAAACAATTATGACATTTATAAGACAAAGGAAGATTTGAATACTAACTGGATATTTGATGATATTAAGGAAATGCTGCTAAACTTTTCAGGTATACTAGTCCTGTGTTTGTATTTTTAAGTTCTTATCTATAGGTACTCTTTATTTACAGATGAAATAAAAATTCTGGGCTTTAATTCAAAATAATGTAAGAGTGGAGTAAGTGCATGCAGCAAGGCTGGGGCAGGCTGGCTAGGAGGCGAAGGTTTGCAGAGCTGGGCCAAGGGAACATGGGCGCCATAACCTAGTCTATTTTTGAGTTTCTGTGATTCTCCAAAATGAAAAAATTAAACACACACACACATACAGGCACACAAGGTAAGATACCATGAGACTCTTACTGAATAGCTAAAATAATGAGCGTTGATGAGGATGTGGAACAACTAGACCCTCCCTGCTGGGGAGGGTGGGCGTCATACCACCACTCTGAAACACTGTCAACTCCTAATAAAAAGATAACCTATTCTCTGATCCAGCAACTCCACTATTAGGTGTAAGAGTGGAACACAAAAGACAAACAGGATAGTCACAACAGTGTTACTATGGTCCTAGACAGGAAACAACCCAGTGTCAATAAAAATAGAACAAATATATTTACATGCTGGAATACCACACAACAGTGAAGAAAGAACACACTGCCACTATATGCTACAATATGGATGAATTTCATAAACATAAAGCTGAATAAAATCCAGAATTTAAAAAAACATAACTCATTTCATCTCTAGAAAGTTCCAAAACTTCACTGAGATAAAAAAGACAAAAGTTAGAATGGAGGTTTGATTCTGAGGTAACAGCAGGGTATTGACAAGAAGGGGTAAGAGGGAGGCCTATGGGATGCTGATCACAGTCTCTGTCTTGAGCTGGGTGGTGGTTACACAGGTGTATATATTTGTCAGGATTCAGTGGGCTGTCTATTTTAGATCTCTTTTACTGCATGATTATTTTAATGAAAAAATTAAGGGGAAAAGGGTCATTTAGAAAGGAGCTGGGAGTGGATTTTGGAATAACATCTGGGTGCTAATACCAAGAGTTCCCAAAACCCACAGGGAAGGCAGTCTCTTCCCCTGTCTGTGTTCTACCTCCTGGGTTTACAGATAAGGCCCAGTGCTTCGGTGAGGCCGCATCTGAGATTCCGAGCAGATGGTGGAGAGGCGGGTGATGCAGGTATCACGACTTATAGGCCGGGGATCCTTCCTCTCTGGCTGCCACCACTTCACCACTCTGCATTCCCCATGGCTACTTCCCTGGGGAGTTCAACAGGGTAGGAAGGTGCCACTGCTGAGCCTCAGCTGCAGGGCTACTGGGCACCTGACTAGCGGCCTCCTCACCACTCCTCTTCCCAGCAGGTCCCAGCCCCAGAATCTCCCTCAGTTTGCTGACCACGAGGCACATGCGCACACCTGCCCTGCATATGAGCACTGCTTCCTGCTCTCGTATTTAGGACAGCCCCCTTGTCCCCATGACTGTTTTGTGGGGAGTGAGGGACAAGTTCCCTGGGATTGAAATTTAACTAGATCATCCTTCCATAAAATAGCATTCCTGGGTCACCCCTGTTTTTTAAAAACAGAGCAGACACTGGCACCGTTTTCTCCAGACTCTTGGCCATTGAGGCTGTGGCTCCTGCGGAGAAGCAGGCTGTGGGGCAGTGGGCAGCGACTCAGAGCTCTGTGGTTCTTGTGAGGGGAGCCAGCTGCCCAGCGGAGCCCTAGCCAACCTGCGAGATGCCCTGGGAGCCTCACTCTGCTGGCTGGTGGCAGAGAGCGTCTGGCAAGAAGCAAAAGGCAACTGCAGTCTGCATGCAGCCTAGGTAGGAAGACTCTGGAGCCTGTCTGCTCAGAGAAAGAAAAAGTAACTGGCGAAAGTACATGGCTCCCTTAGATGACCCTTAGATCAGAGACACCTGCCTCACAGGTGATGAGGAAACTCAGAGAGGAAATTAAGGTTTTGGGGAAAAGACAGATAGGACATTCCTAACAAGCATTTGGCACAATTACAAGCAGCATATTAATTTGGCAAAACACTTTACAATTATTTCCTAGACAATTCCACATATATCTCAGCAGGAGACGTTCAGCACAGACAAGGATGAGTTCTGATGCACTGGACAAAATTAGTTCAATTACTCATTTACACTGGAAGGTGCTTAATTAATTCTAACAGCCAGGAAACAGGAGACCAGGACGCGCTGCCCCCTCTGCTCAATGCCTGCTGCACAGGCACAAAGAAAACCCAAACCAAAGCAGGGAAGTTTCTGAAATATAAAAACCTTCTAAAATAAGAACTATCATCCTTTACACACAGAGATGACACAGGATGTATTTGTAGGTATGAACAAGGAAGACACTGGCTGCCTTGTGTTTGTGTAAATACAAAGTTCAAGCTCACAACAGAAGTCGAGGCCCTCTCCCCACTTGACGTTTGAGGGAACAGAAGACTGCAGGGGGCGATTTGCCTACGAGCATGATTCAGCCTCAGGGCCTGGACCAAACTCCAGGTTGCATCTGCCTGGGTGGTCCCACAGTTAGTGCGCCTGTACTCTCTGCTGACGCAATGGCCCCTCCTGTCAGATGCCCAGCTGGGTACGAAATAGGGCAGCGAAGCAGCCCTGGGAGGGACAAAATCCTTTACTGAGTATCAAGAGTTTAGTAAAATGCCAGATGTTTTAAAGTTTAAGGGCTATTCAACAATGAATAACATTTTTTATAATATCCAAAAGGGCAGGTTTATTATAAAAAGGGAGGGAAGAAAAGGACGCTTGCAGACACAAGTGGGCGCAAAGAGATGCCCCTGAAAGGGATGGGTTTGGTAAAGAGAGGCCTGCATGGTCAGGGGCAGGCAGCCTGGGGAGAAGCTGCCTCTGCTGCTTTGCAAAGGGAGAAGGTGTGTGAAGAGGTATAGTCACAGGCGGGCGGGAAGGCTGCTGCCAATAAAGAATCACTTTCATCCCTATTCTGCCTGGAAAAGAAATCAGAGTTGGACTTGAACAGTAGTGTGGACATCTGGGTTTGACAGTGGAACCCTAACTATATAGTGAACTGGATCAAAGTGGGCAACCTGGGTTGCTGCAGGTCTTCCCCTATCCCTTGCCCGAGGAAAAGGATTAAAATCACAGGATATATACTGCAAGGCCGCTACGTTCACATGCTACAAGTCTGACTCGGGACTATTCAATGACTACCTGAGTAAGCTGGAATTTTAATTTCTGTATTAGCTCCAGAGAGGGCTTTCTGGAGGATGCTGGCTAGGAGCAGCAACTGAAGGGGAGCTTCACCTGAGCTGAGGGAAAGAATTAGGGAGTTGGGAAGATGAGGATTCTGCCCATAAATGCAGATTTTCCAAGCCTAGTGGGAACGGCTGACCTCGTAGGCGCTGGGGAGAGTGACACTCATTCTTGAAGAAGTCCGGCGGCGGGTGGAGACGGGGTTGGGGGGGGTGTTGGGTGGGGGGTGGAGGTGCAGACAGAGAGGATGTGGATGGGGTGGGAGCTGGGGCTGCCAGAGATCATGAGCCCACTGTGCCAGATGGGTCCTGGGCCCACCTGGTCCGGCCTGTCCCCCACCTCCAGGATCCCAGACCTTGATTTGAAATGAGGACTTTTCATTTGTGAATCTATATGAGACTGCAAGTTTCTTTTAGGCAGGAAACATTTTTTCACGTTTCTTTTCTTTCTTTTCACGCTCTGCCTCGGCAGCCCTCAGGAGCATGCTCAATGGGGAATGAGGCGGGTGGAGCGCTGACCTGCAGAGGCCAGGGGGGCTAGCGGCTGCCTGAGCACAGGGCAGGTGGGAGGCCCTGGTCTCGATCCTCCCAGTGGCTCACTACCACATTGGACAACGGTTCATTCTTTCTCTCTGTCTCAGCTGTAGAATGTATGCAAAAGCACAGCTCCTTGTGAAGAAGTATGGCAGTGTTCACTGCTATTACCATCAACCTTAAAGTGTGAGCAAACTCATTTCTATCTTGAGAACCACAGTGAGCACCATTTTCTAGTCAACATTTACAAGGTCTCATACATTCAAACTTCTCAGTCAAAGGTACAGAATACGTGGAGGGGGAAAGACTGCTCATTTGCTCTCAAAGAGGCTAATCACTCACGTGACAGCTTAGCTGACCTTAGGGATCTTGGCCTAAGACATCGTATCCTTATCTCACAGCCCTGGATTTTCCTGGACAGTGACCAATGAGCCCAGGGGGGTCTTCCACGTCCTGGTCTTTGGGCAGGGACACTCCGGTGCTCAACTATACTCTGCTGACCACCTCCAAATGGATGACACTGTTGCCAACAGCCCACTGCTTGGCATGCCCCCAAGGGCAGCACCGTGGTCCTAGCCCCGGGTCCTGCAGGCCAGCCTGGCAGTTTTCTTGGTAGCAGATGCTATCCTCTGTTTGGGGAAGGCTGGGAAAGATTATCTTTTTGTTTAGGAGGTTGCTGCTTGTCAAGAATGAGCTTGAGGATTCAGCTGAGGTCTGGTGGCAGTTCCCAAATAAGGACAAATATAGCCACAAAGCAATTCCTTTCAGAAGAAAAAGAGGCTAATTAGGGTCAGCCTGCTCCTTTTCCAGCAACTGGCAGAAGCAGCACATAAGTCATGCTGCGTCCAGAGGGCGGTGTCTTGCCTTCTGCTCAGCGCCAGCCAATTCGATGAGCAGCCCGGAAGGCAGAGCAGACAGCACGGTGAGCTGAGCACAGAAAGTCACAGGCTCCCCACTCCCCAAACCTCTAGCAGATTTCACAAACCCCAGGGGGCAGGAATGACACTCCCTGTGTTCCAACCATACTAATGGTCCAGAAAGAACTCTCTGAAACTGCTCCAAGGCCCAGCGGCTCAGAACAAACTGCAAGGATCTGCAGTAGCAACCCCTGGGGTAGCAACCAAGTAAGCGCATGCCTGAGGTGAAGGCCAGCCAACGGCTCACTCACTCCTCACCCTAGCGGCAGCCCCTCCTCCCCCCCACCACACCCCCTCCCCAATCTCCCCTTTTGGGACGCTGCCTTTATCTGGCCCTGGTTCCGTGCTCAGCTTCCCTGTGGTACCTGGAGGTCTTTGTCATGGCCCTGCCTCTCCAGGATCAGCACCCGGTCCTGGAGCTCCTCCACGGTGCCCTGGAGCAGGTCGTTCTCCTCCAAGGTGGCGCTAAGGCGATGCTCCAGCTCCCGTTTCTGATCCGACAGCATCTTGATCTGAAAGGGGGTGGTGTTGTTATGGGCCTGATGAGCAGGAGGGCAGGGACTGGCCTCCAGATCCGGGGGTGCGGGTCTCCGTCCTGGGGCCCAGGGCGCCCATCTCTGAAACAGCAGCTGTGAACTCCTAAGCTGAAGAGAAAACCTCTCCCCTCTAGAAACTGTGTGGGAAAGGGTGGGAGTTGAGCTTCAGGGAAGGCGGAATGTGGGATGCCAGACAGAGGAAGGGAAGGTTAGTGTTCTGGAAATTCCACAGATAAGACAGAGAAGGGGCCCCACCTGGCCTGCCCATGATTTTGCCTCAACCCCTTACTTCTTGGAAAGCTAACCCAACAGCCAACGTGCCGTTCTGTCTTCTCTGGACGTGAGCACAAAACACCCAGCACAGCCCTGGGTATTCATGGGGGCGGGCCTGGCTCTGAGGCCACAGTTCAGATGCAGTGCCCTGAGGTAACGGGGAGCTAGCAGGGTGCAGAAAGCCCAGCAGCACCTGCATCAGCCGCTGTCCCAGGAAGGACAGGGACACCAGTGACCAGCTGACTATACACAGAGTGTCTTTTTGACTGAGCAAGTAATTTGTGAATGGAAGTAATTCCTCTCCTTTTATTAAAAGGGCTGGTATATTTGTACAGTGAGTATCGAAAGTATAAGCCTTTTAGGAAGGTCTGTCTAGTGTCTTCAGTGGCAGTGAGAAAAAAAGAGGAGAAATGCCAAACGTTTAGCTTCAAGGTTTGTAGGGTGACACGCCACACCAGCACTCCCCAAGGGCACAGATGCTTCACCCCAAGAACACCGCACAGCTCAGGGCTACAGGAAGCCTCCCCCCAACATTCCCAACTGCCAGTGGCTTTGGGGGCCTTTGGAACCCGGCAGGTCCCCTTGTTTCCTCCATCTATCAGATCCCTGCTGGACCAATCTCTCAGCCAGCTTCTTGCTTGTAAAATATTCACCTGCTATGACCAGGATGTTCTCCAGATTCTCTCATCTGGTGTGGATAACAATCCATTAAGAGAGAATCGCAGAATTTTTCCAGAGGGGATCTTGAAGTGGAAGTCTAACCTGTGCCAGGTCCACTGAAATCTATCTTCCCCTCTGCTTTTTGGGCTGTTTTCAATCTCTGCACTAAAATTGTGTTCCTAGGGGCAGATCTTCCCACCAATCCATCAGACAGGACGCTGGCCTGGGGAAATGAAAAATTTGATCTTTGTCCAGAGAGATCAGGTATCTGACCGAACAAAGAAGTACTGTCTCTCAAGAGTGCCCTGGCAAAGGGGTCAGAAGCAGCAGCCCCTTGTGTGAATGCACCCACTATTCCCTGCACTGACGCGACACCAGCAGGGAAAGGGAATTCTCACTCTAGTTGATTTTAATTTAAATACCCACTGATGTTACATTTTCCTTCCCATGGATAATCTTTGTTTCCCAAGTTCCACTCAGTGAAGTAAGAAGGGAACAGTGTTTTGATGCACAACCCTGACCCTTAGAAAAACTTAAGAGAATCATAAAATAAATTACTGGAAGTAAATAATATCATAGCTTGGCTTTTAAGTGTAACAGTGTTATGGGGTGAAGCAAGGAACTGGCACCCCACGCAGAAACTTAACACCAGAACTGGTAAACGCTCCTAGAAATGATCCTGTACCCGAGGGTCGAGGCACAGGGAAGGGGAAGGCAGGCAGGCAGCTCCACAGAGTCAGCTTGGCAGAGGTGACTGGCATGCACACGGGGTCACACACAGGCATGCCAACCCCACCAGCACAGACTACTTACTTCAAGAACCTGCTGCTCAATGCCAGAAGGAATCCCAAGGGAGGGGAGGAGGAGGAAATGAGAGGCAGGAGAGAAGAGAAGATAGGGACAGGTTTTAGGAAGAGTATCCTCATGCCATCTCTGAAGCCCGGAGTGGCCACCTGGGCTTCTCAGACCTGACCCTGTGGCCGATTCCTTAACCACAGGGCGGGCACGCATTCAGCCTGGCCCCAGGCTGTCCTCCTCGTGCGTGACTGAGCTGAAGGGCTGCAGCTCAGGCTCTTGACTAAGGGGGCCACAGAAGCAGACAGATGGACACCTCCCCCAGGAGTGCCCCTGTGAGGTCCGGTGAGATGACCCCTCTCCTCCCCGCCAGGCCTGGACTCCCAGAGCAATGTACTGAGTGCTCTTTTCCCCCGGCCCCCTTGGTGCCTCGACATGCTTTCAATAACACGACTATGTCCCAAGCTCCGGGCCAAGCCGCTTCCGCGTGCCAACTCATCAAATCCTCACATGGCCCACTTCCAGGTGAGGATAACACTTTACAGGTGAGGATAACAGGCCCCATAAGGAGGGCTGAACTGGACTTAAACGGGAGGGAGAAAGGGTAATTCCTTTTCCCATCTTTTATTTAGGGCTGGAAAGGATCAACACAGCATAATTAGGTCATTCCTGGTTTCCACACACTCAGCAGTAACTCTGAGTAACCCCGGTTTTCCAGATAACCGCCTACCCTGTGCGCTCCACTTAGTTTCCCAGATAGGTGTCTTCAGAGATTTCAGATAGAGCAGATTTTTGTTTCCCAGCCAGAGGCTCCTTATCAAAAAGACAGGTAGGCTGTTCCCCAGGAGGCTCACCTCAGCCTGAAGGCTTTCCAGTCTGATGATGTGCTGGTTGGTTGAAGAGTTTTTCTCCCGAAAGTCTTCTCTGAGGGCGTGGACTTGCATGGAGAGCTGTCTCTCCACTTCTGACGCCTGCAAGCAGAGGAGAGGGAGCTTCAGAGCTAAGTCAGAGGCTGTGCAGCACAAGTCTGTTTAAATTTCTGCCTTTTATTTCTCATGCACCTCTTGGCAACTTCCACATGACCAGAAGTAGTGGATGAGATGGTGGTTTCCTACTGCCCACGTGAGTTCCCTGGCACCCCAAGACAAGCCCCCACCCATCTCCACCACGAACAGCTGTCCAGGTCGTTGGTCACTTGGATGAAAGGACCCTAGGAAAGAGAAAGCCCTTCGTGTTATGTGTCACCGTAGTTACACGGCACACGCTTGGCAGACGCACTAAATTGGGAGAAAGTCTTACTTAACATTTTACATGAAAGAAAAGACAGCTAAGCTTTTGACTACAGAAATTCCTTTATTTCTCCCACCCATGTCCTCAGCAGGGCCCACCCGGCAGCCCATCCGTCTGCCTCTCTCACTGCCACCCATAGTGGGCACTCTGAAATTCTCTGTTAAGATTTTTCCCATTCATTCAGCAAGGGAATTTTATAATTTTAATTCTCTTCATTCTCGAGGGGGGGGGGCGGGGGGAGGGGTCCAATGAGGTGATTATTTCCTACATTAACCCATTTATTTCCTAATGCTGAAACAAGGCAAAAGCCAAATTCCATTCCTGTGTCCTCAGCTTCTCTTGACTCTGGGGAAGAGGATTCTGGAAGACCCCTCCCTGGGTGACAGGGTGCTCCAGCCCTGCTCCCAAAGGCCCACACAATCCACTTAGAAGAACCCTGGCAGGTTCCTCCAGGGCCTCAGTGCTTTTCTGAGGCCAACTGGGGTCAGTAAACTTTATGGGTTCTCGGAGGGATCACTGTGCTTAAGTGGTTAGGAAGGTTTCAGAGGAGGTGGGAGGGCACTAACGATGAAATGGCAGGCTAGCTGTTCACCGAGGCTCTCACGGTAATGGTTACGTGTTCAACAGTTCTTCTATCGTCAAGTGCCATGTAATCAACTGTCCTTTTTTTTTTGTCCCACAGATTCAACAAATGCTCCTCTAGACTTAAAGAGCCACACAAGAATCTTTATCTAGAATTCTATGTTAAAATAACAATTACAAAAAAACCCCCACCATTTCTTTTTCCTCCTTATTCTAGTGATTAATTTCAGACATCGCCAGCCTATTTTAGACTTCTTAATTGCTTAGAAACAAAATGTTAGTCACTTTCACCTGAAAATATCTTAAGTGTTTACTATGTGCTTACTATGTGCCCAGGATGGCACTAAATGCCCTAAGCGCATTATTTCAGTTGTCACGAGCAAAGCAGGGCCTATGGCCCTCAACTTACTAATGAGGAAATGAGCTCAGGAAAGTGAGGGAAATTGCCCAACACCCAGTAAGGGATGATACCAGAATGGTAAATTCAGGGGTGTCTTACCCTCAAATTGCGGTACTGACTTTTCTTATTTTCTTGAGAGTAACTTTTATTTCCAACACTATTAAAACCAAACTTTAGGGCCTCCCTGGTGGCGCAGGCGGTTGAGCACCAAACAGTGAAGCTGTCTGCAGCCTCTGCAGCGCAGGTTTGATCCCGGCCAGCCAGCGAGGGTCCCATATGCGTGGCAGACCTCTCCTGTCTTGCCCACTGCTCCCCTCAGCAGTGTATTTCTTCAGTCTGCCTGTTCTGTTGTCGCCGGTGAATCCTCTCACCCTTCCACGCATCTAGCCTGTACCCCGGTTCTTGTATAAAAATAAATAAATCTTTTTTTTTTTTTAATAGAGGCATGTTTTTATTTATTTATTTGTTTGTTTGTTTGTTTTGTTTATACATGCACTGGGTACAGTCAGAAGCGCGGGAGGGTGAGAGAATTCACCAGAGCCAGAGCGGGGAGCAGAACAGGCAGAAGGACCAAAGTACACTGCTGAGGGGAGCAGCGGGCGGCACGAGAGGTCTGCGTGCCATGTGGGACCCTCCTCCGGTGGCCGGGGAGCAGCCGGGGATCGAACCGGCGCTGTAGAGGCCGCGGGCAGCTTCGCAACCCAGCGCTCAACCGCTGCGCCACCGGGGAGGCCCAAAATAAATAAATCTTTAAAAAAAAAATCAAACTTTACATGGGTCTCATTTAGGAAGACTTTCTTTTCTTCTTTTGTAATATTAAGTGATTTGAGACTTGAAATTTCTTCAAATGGAATTTAGGATCCATAAAGAAAACTCCCTCTTATAAATGCTGCAGTGTGATTGCCTGTATGGAATCAAATTGATTATCATAGTTTCAAATATGTTTGAATTTCCAAGGAAAGTACTGGGTAGCTCAGGTAGCTGACCTTACTTCCACCTTCTCCACTTTGACACGAATCATGAGCCACAAAGTCAGAGAGAAGTGGAGAGGGCTGCCAGCCAGCCTACCTGCTCCTGCAGACTCATCTCTCAGTGACCTTCCTCAAATTAAAACTGTCTCTTTCTACCAGGAAGCCTGACTCCAGAGTCTGAGCTGCTAACCACTGAGCTAAAATGTCTTTTTTAAAACTCTGCCTCCTGGATGTGATCTACATCTCTCATTTGAATCTCCTAGGGCCCAAAGCTGCAGGAATCACTGACTCGCAGAGTCTGAGAGGGAGAGGCACTGCCTGGTCTTCCACCCCTGGCTCTGTGCTCCAGGGGGGCAGCCAACCCCTTGCCTGCACTGGTGATACCAGTGATGAAGCAACCAGATGAACAACCCTTCTTTGGCAAGAGCTAGCACACCTCTCAGGGTAAATTATTTTCTCCTTCTTTCAGAAATGAAATCTGGGGCCTCCCTGGTGGCACAAGAGGTTAAGCGTCAGCACTATAAAGCTAACGGCAGCCACTGCAGCACAGATTCGACCCCCAGCCGGAGAGCAACCCTCATGGCACAGCAGACCTCTCCTGTCTCACCTGCTGCTCCCCTCTGCAGTGTATTTCAGAAGACCCGCCTGTTTTGTTCCCACTCTGTCTCTGGTGAATCCTTTCACCCCCCTGTACCTCTGGCCTGCACCCCGGTTCTTGTATGCATAAATAAATAAATCTTTAAAAAAAACAAACAAATGAAATCTAGCTCAGGTCTTTGGACCGATGAACAGAATGAACTGGTTATTTCTGCACATAAACAATGATTTCTTTGTAAAACTCTGATGTTCTAAACGTGTTCCAATCGAAGTATCAGGACCTCGACAAAGCCAGTCTTATCTCTACATTTCAGATTCGAAATGATGCTCCTCAATCAGGAGAGTGCACCAGGGTAACGAGGTCTCTGAGAAGGGACACACTCAGCCTGACCGAAGGGATGGAATGATGGAGGAAAACACTAGAGTTAGGAGATCAGGATTGCAGCTCCTGTGCTAACGAGTTATATGACCACAAGTTACATGTGTCATGTAACCTCTCCGAGGCTCAGTTCCCCAAATTCACAGATTCACTCCTCTTTTACTTATTAACACACGAAAGGGTGAGAATGCCCATTTCTCTCTGATTCAGGGACTGCGTTCAATCACTGCAGTTTAGGGAAATAAAGGGAGGAAAGAAATATGACACTGCCAACAATTCAAGACAACTGTGGGAAATAATAAAAGATTCATGGATCGGTTGTTTTAAAGCAGGGTCTGAGAGCATGTGTATGGTCAGGGTGCTGCTATACGCGTGGCCAGCTTCTGGGGTCTGTGCTGAGAACACCCCATTAAGGGACTTGGCTGACATCACCAAGGGGATGGATTGAGCCCAAAAAAATTCAGAGGAAAGGCAGAAATATTTGGCACCCATGCCTTCGGTGTTATTCTACAGGTGACTTTTACTGCTACTGGAGAGCCAGCGACTGCCCACAAGCCACCAATCTCTTGGAGACGCAAACATTCCTATTTCTTCAAGGTGTGGGGCAGCAGTTATGGGCCTGTGACTCTTATAGGGTGTGGGTTTTGGGATGATTTAAGACAATTCATCCTAATAGTAGAAAATGGCAGGCATGGGACTTACAGTTTATGTCTCAAAATGATGGGCTTGGCGACCACGCCTGATTAAGCCGCCAGTAACGGTTGTGGGGAAATTGTGACAAAAAACGATACCTGAAAGCACAGGGGAATATAAAAAAAAAGATGGTATAATTTAAGTTCGGGATTTGCTCTTTTCTTTTTAAAGCCTTAAATTCTTTTTCTATAAAAACTGTAACATGTTCAGAGTCAAAAAAAAAAAAAAAAAAGAAAGAAAAGTGAAGGACCAAAGTGCAAGCTGCAGATCTTCACTGGTCCTCAGTGCCACTCTCCAGTCTCCATCCACATCAGTGAGGCTCTGGTAAGGGCTTTTGGAAAGTTTCTATTCTTCTCTACCTCGAAAGCATTACCAGACATTTACCTTTAAAAAGAATACAGTTAGGGCCTCCCCTGGTGGCGCAGCGGTTGAGTGCTGGGCTGTGAAGCTGCCTGCAGCCTCTGCAGTGCCGGCTGGATCCCTGGCTACCAGTGAGGGTCCCACATGGCATGACAGACCTCTCTGGCCGCGCCTGCTGCTCCCCTCAGCAGTGTATTTCGTCAAGTCTGCCTGTTCTGTTCCCCACTCTGGCTCTGGTGAATTCTCTCACCCTCCCACGCTTCTGACTGCACCCAGTGCTTGTATAAATAAATAAATAAATATTTAAAAAAAAAAAGAATACATTTAAACATCTTTCCATGTCAATATTTAAAGGTACCTTACTCTGTGTGTGTGTGTGTGTGTGTGTGTGTGTGTAGAAGAACTGGGGTGTAGGCCAGAGATGCGGGGGGTGAGAGGATTCACCAGAGACAGAGCGGGGAGCAGAACAGGCCGATCTACTGAAATACACTGCTAAGGGGAGCAGTGGGCAAGACAGGAGAGGTCTGCTGTGCCATGTGGGTATCTCCCTGGCAGGGGCTTGAACTCAGGCTATCATGGTGACAGTGCTGAGACTTAACCCCTAGGCCACCAAGGAGGCCTGAAATGAACTTCTTTTATAATCTGAGTGCTTGGGTTTTTATTACTTAATTAGTCCTCAAGTTGGCAAACAACCTGATA